TATTTCTCCAAGCCCATTTATTTCTAAGCTTGTAAATGAAAAGGTCTGAGCCACCCCAACAAAACACTGTGGGAAAAATTTAGCCCATCAATTGATACGAAATTTACCGACTTAAAATTGAAGAATACAAGAGCCGGATATTTCCTGTGATCAAGGATATCAGAAACGTGACCTCGTTGCATGCATAATATGTGGCGCATTAAAAAAGTGACCCGCATGAACTGAGTATTTTGAAAGTCTTCCTAATTATTGCAGTGCTTTAGAGTATGACTGAGCTGACGGCTCTATACATTTTCTACTATTAGAACCAGACTGGAAGTTCATCGATACAGTTAGAGTGACTGGGATCACACTTCCTCCATTCCGATGTGAAGTGAAGAGACGCCTTTATTTATAGAGGCCGGTAACACTTGACAGTTATGGTCTAAACTGATAAAATTGTGGCCCTAAGGAAGCTGGAGGGAAAAAAACGCCCCTCCTTTGTGGAAACATCTGCTTTGGGATTCGTCATAGATCGAATTAAACTATTCTCCCGTTCCACTTTGAACCGAAAATAATGTAATTTGACAGAAAAATCACAAATAAAATCGGCAGAAGACATGATATAAGACAAATGGAGTTGAATCTTGATGACCACGCCGTACGATTACGTCAATGCAAAGTGCTTCTTTAGTGCTGTTAAGCTACATGTACCAACCGCACAAAGACCATAAGACTTTATAACTATGGTCAAAGTTACTCAAGCATTTATGATTATTCGATCATACGTTTCATGATAATGTACTTCGATTACTTCGATGTGTGGTCCGGGGCTTAGCGCCCTTATGACTTCTGGTTTCTCTTCACATTTTAGTGATAATTTTAAACACCACTTATTGCATTTTCTTCAAGAGAACATCTTACCGAGAACCTGTTACGTTGCACAAAGCAGATGCCCGTAAAATACTAACTGCATCAATTCATCCATGACTTCTTGCGTTATCATTGAGAATATATAAGTATTCACCCCTGACCTTGAGCTTATGTAAATCTTTTTCTAAAAGGTGGGTTTAAAAACATCCCGTCCAGTCAATGATGATATAAATTTAGTTAGCCGAAGAAGATTGTATGGTAACTATTTTGGATTTCCTTTAACGCTTGCAAATAGCTTTGTAATAGCTTTGTGAATCAGTTTGACTTTCAGAAACGGAAAAACGGTGCATTTATTTGCCTTTCTGGGTTCTCTTGAAAGGTGAGTCCTTTTATTTTTATTACGTAACAACCCACTTCAACTGTTATAACTAAAATGAGTAACTTTTATGTGCAGTGATTTGAATTATTTTTGGCCTTCGCCTCGGTTTTGATATCTCAACTCCGTATGTTCTTCTACGCTCTTCGCGAGCCTTTTTTTCACTACAGTTTCCAGTTGGCTATGTGATTCACAAACATGTTTGTCCGTTAATCACTGACATTCGATACGGGATTCGGAATCAACGTCGTCGACGTTAAGATCCAACGACGCGACGTCTACGAGAACGCCGCTTAAAAAGTGAATTTGCGTTCTTGAGTCTTTATCGCAATTGTTCCTACTCACTGACTTTGTCAAATCCAGGCGAACCCTCCTGGAGTTGAATTCCTAGGAACCATATTCAAGTTCAGAAACAGAAATCAATTTCGTCGTTGCTTGTTTACGTAGTCCATAAAGGTGATGTTACATACACGGGACGATTCGCAACGACGATTTTTGCGACAACACAACGTTGCAATGTTGGAAAAATGTGGTAGGTATTCGAAACAATGTGGCAACAATGTTGCAATGCTGTGTTGCGCTAAGAATCGTCCTTGCGACATCACCTTAAAACGCGAAATTATGCATTTTCAGGTCGTAGTCATGCAAAAACGGGCAAAGAAATGTACAAACAAGGTTAGCGTAATGCACGTGCAAAGTTGTTGTTTTGCTTATAAATTACCTGTACAAAGTTCTCGTTGTCGTCCGCGTCGTTTGGTCTTAAAGTCTTTAATATCTTTGTGCATCAAGAAACTCCCTCTTCAGTGATACTTTTAATTCTCGCTTTTCATTTTAATGATGCTCTTAATTACCCCAATTTCTGGAAGTAAATGCAACGTAAGGCAATTTTAGTAGCAAAATAAAGTGCCTAATGATGTAGGAGTTTGACTCAAGTCAGTTGACCAAAAGATTAAGTTAGACTGAATTAAAAAGTAGTTTCTAGAACATCCCTCGTTGAGGTAGAAGCTATACAGGCTGACTGTGTTTATTCAATTTGAACTTGATATGGCCTGGAATTACAGAGGTTCAGAAACTATTTTAGATAAACAACTATAAGTCAAGTCAAGTCAAGTCAATTCCTAGGTGCGACCATTTAGGTTGATATGCATAATCGGCATAAAGACTGACAACCTATAAATACCAAATTGATTTGACCGTTCTTCGAGTCGACCTTAACGTTAAATATATCAGTGGAGTTCAGTTTGGTTGTTTGTAAAACTAATCCCCCAAGTTAAAAAAAATGCATGTTTATCTCTTGCCAGCATGGGAATTTCTAAACTTTGCTGTCATAATTCGGAGTCAGGTTTGAACTCTCGAACGCCATTCTTCCAACGCTTTGCCTGTGGAGTCGGTCACGTGATGAATGACATCACTCGTCAGCTTCTGTTTTCGTTTCGTTTGGTTATATTTATGCAAGTGTTTGGTCTCTCTGCTGCCAATGCCGGCTGGTTGATGCTTTACGGACTTATCACTGCTACAACATCTTCAGCAATCGGCGCGTTCCTGATTGACAACGTCAAAATTCCGTATTTGTCCAAGACGCTTGGAAAAAGGAAGGCCTGGCATTTGATTGGTACTATGGTGGGTGCAATCGCCATTCCACTCTACTTCAGCTCCTGTTTCCTTTGTCAGAGCGATCAAGGGCAATGGCAACAGATGATATGCATCCCAGTTCTTAATACAATCTTGTCATTTTCATTCGGCTTGATGGAAATTAGCCATCTTTCGATTATTCCTGCCATCGCTAAAGATCAAAGCGAAGCTGTTGAATTAAACGCATGGAGGTACATTGGCATATTTTTTTTTTATTCTCTCAGTAACATTAAATTGAAATTTCTTTTTCAATCGACGTAGTTTTAAGTCAAGTTATTCGTCAATGTTTCAGGTGAACTGAGGAGACATTTGTAAAGTCGGAAGTTTTCTTATCACATTTTATTCGTTTTCTTAAAGGACTGCTTTTTCCTTCTTGAGTGGCATTATGACCTTCATCGTTGCATGGTTGATAATAGGACAAGATAGCAGCGAAAATATATCGGCAGAGAACTCGATGGATTTTACGGTATGAGTACTTGGAATATTACTTAAACAATATCTCTTGCACGCACGAAAGCACATTCTTTTAGCTTCTTTTCTCCTTTAATTACATTTCAGGTTTTGACTTTAATTCTGGTTGGAATAAGTCTACTATTTGCTGTAATCTTTCACGTTGGAACAAAAGAACCTTCTGAAGAAAGTGTTGGACAACTATCCAAAACAAATCGGTAAGATTTGGTAAATGTTTACCTAATAACCCACCCTTAATAAAAATCTGGAACTTTTAAATATTAAATAATTAATTGTAACTCAGGGTAACAGCTTTTCCGCGTAACTTAAATCGTTACGGATCGGAAGGTGCATTACAGAGAACGCAGAGAGTTCCAAACTGACTTTAGCACTAGGACCAAGCTCGCTTTAGACCATACGGAGAAGACAAACTATAAAAAAATGAAGTTATATGTTTAATAAGAATATGAAACTAAGCTAAGATGCCTTTTTAGCTCTAAACTGGCCTTCAATGCGATTATTTTTAAAACTGTTTTCTCCTCTACTCTTTCTTTAGAGAAAGATATCTTTTATTCCATCACACACCCTGGTTAGGGCGATGACGTTGCAAAGAAAAGGTATGATTAATTAATTCAACCGAAATTTATCAAGTGTACTGAGCTTCACCAATTCAGTTTGGACACTACAATTACGTTTGGCATGATGCAGGGAATCGTATCTCCAAATTAAACATGACATGGTACAGCCCAGTTATTTTCTTGGAATAGATTTTCAGGTTACGCGGCTTTTTGTTGCCTGTTGTCGGTTACCATTCATATTCGTTCAACATGACGTCACGTCCGCCATATTGTTTAGTTACAAAACTATAAAACGGCAGCCATGTTGGTGTATCAAACCAGTCCTTTGATAGCTGAACCTTTTTCTTGTGTAAAAACATTCTTTTGTTCCAATAAATTTGCGTAGCAACAGGCCATGTGAGTGGAAACGCTTTATACAGCTATTTTGAGAAAGGTTGTCGCAAAGGTTGTGCACGCGACAATCCCGGAAGGTAATATGGGATATGATCAATACACTGTTCCTAACACAAGTACAGTAGCTGTCGAACTTACTTTTTTTGCTTTCCACAAGCACTCGCAAACATACGTCCATGGCCTCTCGTGCCATTCTCTCAAATTTCCTGGAGGAACTTGAGTGAACGCAATGCACCCACATTACCTTTCGGGATTGTCGCCTGCACTTTTTCCGACATCCTTTCTCGAAATAGCTGTGTATTGCAGTAATTGTAACTGCAGCAGCTTTAAGTTACAAGTTAATTAAGTTTTTAACAATTTCATTTTTGTTCTGCCAAGATGTGAATCTTCAAAAGCAAACAATGCGTGACGCTTTCATCGATGGTATGAAGGCCAAGGCCGAAGGAAATAATACAGGCGACACTGAGAAACAACCTTCGAGAAAGCAGAGTTTTCCGAGGCGCTTTATCCAAGCCCTATTTTCTAATGAAGAAAATGACGAAAATATAGCTGGAGAACAATTACCGGCTGACATCAAGAGCTTGAATGAATCAGCTTCCAAACGCTCAGGCGAGATAGACGGGTGTTCTTCTTTTAAACCAAAAGATCAGGGCGAGGAAGAAATGTTAAAAGGTGTCAAACGTTTGCCTAATGAACGAAAAATAAGTGTTCTTGTGAGTATAGTTTATGGATTGATAGGAGTTGACCCCGCTACTGATGAACAGATGAACGAAGAGTCAAAGATGGATACAAACTCTGCGTCACCAGGGAACATTGTTGATAAAGTAAACGGCATTCAAGGAACAAACATCGGAAAAGGAGAAACAGATTTCACAGCTAACTCTTCAGTTTCTATCGAGCACCTTGGTGTTGACAATAAAGGATATAAGTGTGAAACAGAATTGGGTGTTCCTGCGTTACAAACCAACACGACCAAAACAGTTCCCCGAGTTACATCTGGTGACCTCGAATCTGCACGTCCAGCTTCGCCCACACCTAAGACAGTACGAGCCTGGCTCAAGGATCCACATATATATAAGGTGATTTAGGTTCTTGGTTTTTTTCTGCTTTTGCTTTTTTATATTGGGATTTGTAAGTTTTTCTGCATGGAATTAGTTACCCATCCAGTTCTGATCGAAAATTTTGTCTGTTTGTGGTTTTTTCACGTAGGTGGCTATCATCTTCACGTGCACAATGTCTGTCATAAGCCTGGCGTATGCCTATCTTCCATTGTTTCTTATCTACAGAGTACAGTTTGGAAAGGTAAGGGCCGGGGATAAGGTATATATATACTCACAAAAAGTAGACACATAGCTAGTGCCACCTTCGCTAAGTCATTTTCAGGAGCATGCATCTAGTACAAGTTCTGTATTGATATACCGCACCCGTATTGGACACTATAGACCATATATGGATGATACCTTAATACAAAAATTAGACACATAGCCAGTGCCACCTGCGCAAACTCATTTTCAGGAGCATGAAGCGTCTAGTACAAGTGCGGTGTAACTGCATGGAAGGCCGGGTCCCGGGCTTCCTTTTAATCACACCAAATCCTGCTGCATTTCCAAATTTTTCAAAACAGTGAAAATACCTTGTTTGAAATTGAAACTGAAAAGGTGAAATTAAAGGCTACTGGCAATCCGATTTTTCTCTTAGATCCGTTAGTCACAACTAACGCCTACGTTTTTCGCCCCTCGCAGCTTCATCATCTCACCGCTCGTGGGCGCCACCACCGTAACTTTGGAGAAAATAAGAGACTCTTTGCAGACCAAAAAAATATGTACTTTCTTCCTTGTACTTTTTGCACCCCTCATTTCGAGATAACTAGCTTCATTTGTTACGTCTCTAAATTTACGCTATGAATCTAGTACAATGATTTGCTTTTCCTTTGACAAGACCACCAAAATTGTTTAGTTAGTTAACTTTGATTACGTTAATTTTAACTCTCGTGTTTTCATTTTTTTCAGTGGTGTTTTGTCCTTGCTGCCCTCTTCGTGATTACAGCTGGTGTATGGTTTTATTTCATCACCAAGTCCAACAGAGTAATGACCTACCCAGCCACTGTGTTACTGGGTTTTGGATTCTCCGCCATGCTCGTGAATGCACTAAGCTTCGCTGCAGAACTCATTGGAGACAACAAAGTGAGTTCACTCATTTAAATGCCGAAGAAAGGGACGACGATTAAGATTATTTTTTTAAAAAAACTACAAAGAATAGCCATGTCACACCATAACCCTTTGATTAAAAAAATACTTACATTTTAAAAATACTTATTAATTTTCTCCTTTTTGGTTTTGGAATATCATTTCTTGCTGATCGGGTATTTTCTTTCTACGTTATAGAGCACATCTGGTGTCGTATTTTCTTTTATGAGTTTGATGTCATACCTAACTAGCGGAACATTGATCACCACAATACAGAATTTGTTTCCTGAAGGAAGGTAATTGTACACTTTCTAGTCTTAAAATACTTTTCAGCTTCCAGAATCTATGTGTCAGAGAATGACATCAAACATCAATCAAAACATAGCAAGCATAACTCCACTCTGGTACTCATAAAGGCCTCAGGATCTAATGGGTTTACCTGTGGGAAATTATAACTGCGGCTACTGATAACTTCGGCCGACATGCTCACAGATGGAACTGATCAAAACTTGGCGGACAAAAAGAACTCATTGTCCTTAACATTTTAAAATATAATTATTTTTGTTAAAAAATCACGTGATATTTCACATGACCACTTTTCTTAAAATCTTCAATAATTGAGAAATTGGTGGGAGAGCGAGTTTAAGAAAAGAAATCAAGCAATAACATTTTCCTCACTTATATTAAATATGTGTAACACTTCACGTTCGGAATTGCTGTCTAATAACCTTTAATAAACATTTTTGAGAGACAAAAAAAATTAAATGCCCAAATTCAATCTTGAATTATTTGAAACTTTCATTTGAGAGTTCGAGTACATTCATTCCAAACTTAGAAAGAAAAATATGTTTTCCCTCTATCGGAAACGCCAATTTATTTATCCAAACAAAGTAAATTCGCCACCAATGAGCCAATTTCCATTATGCTTAATTTTTGGTCACGTGACATATCACGTGACTATAATGTTAAGGCACCAGAAGACCTCGAGATTAACTTCTGGGAAAAAATACGTCTTGTTGTTGGTAACCTAGCGAGAAATATTGCCAATTAATCATATGCTCCAAACACCCCTTGAGCCTTGAGTTATTAACTTCTTCCAAACCAGGTCTGTTCGAAAAAACTTCCGAAAGTTTTAAACGACTGCATGCGGAGAGTAGCGACCAGCCGAAGGTAAAAAATCCCGAAATCTGCGATTCCTCAAATTTTTAATCTTATGATCAATCGTTGGAGGCCCGGCCTCCTCCGTCTTGTTCTTTATTAGGCGAGAAAATAACCTCTACGTACAACGGTTCAGTAAAGATTGGATTATTTCTGCTTCATTTTTTTAGTCCTCGTTAAGACCAAAAGAGCATTTCCTCCACGACAACCAAACAGTTTCATTCGCAGGAAATCTAAGATAAGAAAACGGCAAATATTTAACATGCTTGAGGAACTGACACTTTGCAAAACCGAGTTTAATTTTTCTTTGCAGTAACGCTGAAAACTGCAACGAGTGTGGGGATTACCGTATTTATTCGAATAAGCGCCCAACCTCGAATTAGCGCCCACCTCGAATAAGCGCCCATCCCAGAGGCAGAAAAAGTTAATAAGCGCCCAGCCTCAAATAAGCGCCCACCCCAACCCCTCCCCCTCCCCCTCCCAATCAAACTCAATTAGCGCCCACCCCCACCCCACCTACTTGAGCGATAATGAGATTGAAATTGAAATTGAATAAGAACTAATAAGAGACTTCCCCGAAGACGGAGTGTTCTTCCGAGTACCGAGAAAACCTTGCTTTGTTACTTCTTCACGTTTTGTTACTGGCATTTACTGTTTTTTTTGGCAAAATAAAAATACTACACTAATTGCTGAAAATGGTGAAAATTTAATAACCGCCCAGCCTCGAATAAGCGCCCACCTCAAATAAGCGCCCACTCTCAAGGTCCAAAAATTTAATAAGCGCCCAGGGCGGTTAATCGAATAAATACGGTACGTGCGTAATGTGTTTTCATTCGTACCAGGCTCTCTCGCTGCCATTAGCTTATTGGTTGTTTTGCTGTTCCATGCTTCAAAACCCATTTACAAAGAAGATGGTGAGACTTGTTATTATTATACTTTTAGAGTCTTTTTTTTTTTTTTTTGTAAGGAACTGTATTATTATGTGTCGGCCATTTCAATTTGTGATCAGAAAGTGAGGGAGATTACAGTGAGAGTTTAGAATAAAAAAAGAAAGTTTTAAACTTTTATTCGTCCGTTAGAGCTGCAAATAGATTCAAGTAGTGTTAAAAAAAAGATCATCATATGACAACAATAAAATACCAATGATGATTGTCTATATATCGCGTATTTTATTAAATCTATATATTTACTTTTTTTTTCAGCGTCCCAAACAGTTTCCAGAAGGACTATTGTAGACGATACCCGTCTATAGTGCATGGAGAAAGCTGCAGACGAATATTAGACGACGTAGATAAGAGGGTGTGAATGGGGTTAACCGACTAGAGACAAAGGACGAAAAATATTACTGACTACCGACAAAATGAGTAAAAAATTACCGACTACCGACAGGAAAAATATTAACCGACTACCGACGTGGGCTGATATTATCAATATTTGTTTCCAGAAAAAAGAGCATTTTGTGTTTAATCTAACCGTTAGCTCGAGGAAGTAAGTAACCTCTTTAAATTTATGACTCATCAGATGGCCTAAGGGAGAGAATTTCCTTTTTTTGTTGTTGATACAGGTACATTGCTACAGCCAATATCAAAATCACAAAGTCACATCTTAAAGATGCTACCGACTTTATAAATTTTATTGAAAAGTCAAAGGTGAAAAAACCGAACGTTTTTTGCTTAGATTAATCCTCAAAGAAAATTCTTTCCCGTTTAATGTAAAGAACTATCAGTACAAACCCACGTTACCGCGATGAGCACAAAGACAGCAGTTTCCTTTCCAACATTTTTATGGCACATACTGAAACACAAAGTTTAAGCAAAACCGTCTTAAAACCAACTGTTTGAAAACGCTACATAAATGACATTTTTTCCGTATGGGGCATAGGTAAACCAGACATCCTAGCTTTCTTCGCGGAACAAGTAAACTTACATGCCCTACTATGAAATTCACGGCCGAAATATCTGAAAATGAGACATTCTTTTTAGAAACGGTTGTATACCAAGGCACAACATTCAGCGAAAAATGAGAAAAAGCTATCCTTGACGTAAAGACGCATTTGAAACGGAAACCTTACAGTATATACATTTTCACCTCTTATCACCCACCAAGTGTTAAAGCGCCTGTTTGACAAACGAGAAGCCTTGAGAATCCTACGAACAAACTCCTCTGAGGAAGTATTTCAGATTTCAAAGGCGCTTGATGGACAGAGGCTAGCCACACAATTTTGAAGGAAAAATTGCTATTAGAAGTAAACTCACAGAAAGGAAGGCAGTGCTCCTGAAAAAAAACAACCAGGAAGAAAAAGACTGAAATATTGCCTTTCGTGACACAATACCAGCCCTTAGTGTCTATAAAAAAGAAGCTTTAATTAAAAAGTGGAATCTCATACAAAACCAGCCACTACCTTGCCAAAATTTTAAAGAACCACCTAAAGTGCTATTTCTTTGAGAAAGGAAAATTATGGCAAAGGACATGCTTGTTAGAACCAAAACATGAGAGGGATAGATGTGCAGCCTGTCATCCCTTGCAGTTTTTCAATGAAACTAATTTAAGTATCCAAAAGGCTACAGTCCAGTAAGTAATTAATTAATTACTTTTTACTGTGCCCTTTAGTCGACAGGGAAACCAAGTTCGCATTTACAATAAAAGCTTGGGTGATTTTATCAGTACTAATTATTCATTTAATGGCAAACAATGATGAAATAAACGTTCATGTTGCATAAAAAACAAGAGTTAATGAACGGTTTAGGCGCAATCAAATCAGATGCATTCTTGCAAGTTTTACTCTTTCCTTAGGGATCAAAGTCTTGAAAAGTGGGTGAAATACATAAAAAAATATAAATAATTAACAAGCGTTTTTACTTATTGACTGAGATTTTCCGACAACCGGCGAAAATCGAAAAGTTTAACCGACTACCGACAAAGATCGAAAATTTTAACCGACTACCGACAAAATTACTGAATTGTAACCGACAACCGACAAGTGGACCCCCCCATTCAGCCCCTCAGATAAGGCTAACTACGGCCATATTCTAGCTTTCTTAAATTTGGTTTAAACTAGAAAAAGATCTCTCAATGGTCATTCAAGTGTTTAGTATTTACAAAAGCGTCTTGGAAACAGATATTGTAAAACAGAAGATTGCATCGCAGGAAAAAGGGAACTTCAGCAACGACGATGGCACTGTCAGCTCAAACGTCTCTTCATGTCGCGATTATTTCAACTCGCGCAAAAAGCCACATGTAGGTGGGTTTTCTCTCCCTTTATTCAATCTGTTGCATCCCTTTCCCTAGAGCCGCTTGCGAGGGTCTTCGAGATACGTATTTGTTAGTGAACATGTTATGAAATAAAAGATATCGCGGGTTCTTTAATAATAACAACCTTTATTGAGATTACTTTTTCATATAAAATATGGTTTTCAAAAGGGATCTCATAAAATTCAAAAAATAAATAAAAATACACAATTCACAAAGACATTAAAAATCTAAAATATGTAAAAAGTATTGAAATGTACAAGATATTAACTCAAATTCATTTACCATGGATAAACTTGAACCAGTGGGCTGCCGTAGCTGCTTTTAAGCCATTAAGCTGGGGTTTAACAAAAATTTGGATTAAAATCAGGGGCACCCAACGAGAGTATAGTTCAAAACCACATAAACATAGCATTGTTGAACGTACTTTAGTATTTAAACGGTAGATAAAGGCTTATTTTTATCCCCTAAAAATTTTTCATCTGTTCGGATTTCCTAGCTGAAAGTATAGTGATCCGAAAATTCTAGGGATCAAAATTTACCTTTTCGAAAATTTCAGCCAGAAAAAAGGCTCCCGAAAATTCTAGGTGACCTTTCTAGGGTAAAAATCCGTTAAAAAATGGGGAATTATACGATTTTTTTGAAGTTCGAAAATCCTAGGAGAGGCAGGTAAGCAAGAAATTTGTCAGAAAATGATCCGAAAATTCTAGACCTCAAATCGTCTTCCGAACAGATAATTTTCCGAAAATTGTCGTTGGGTGCCCCTGTAAAATGAGCTCATAATGTGACAGGGACTGATTGCAACAAATGGCGAAGCTTCGCTCTGTTACAGAAATCGCGCCGAAATCATCGTTTTTAAGTGGCGAACAGAAGCCCAGCTATCCGGTATGGTGTGAACACTGAATCTGTCGCTGAACCATCTTGTTGTTGTTGTTTTTTAAGTAATTAATTACGTCGTAGTGGTCCTCTTTGTTTATTTTCATTACATGTTAGAATTTCAGTTTCTGGTTTTCGAGACCGTTTTTCGATAAATGGAAAGTGATTTGTACACTATATGGTAAATGCGAGTTCCAGGAGGAAATTTGCCAGTTCTAAATTGTTCTTATCATTATTTTACCCAATTCGTGAACCGACAGGTTTGCCCATGTAAATGGTAGACAACTATGATTCAGCACTATAAGAAGGGTGAAAAGCTATAAGGTGCGATCTGAGAAAACAGCTGATTCCCAGTTCTAGTGTACACAAGCCAGCATAAGTCAGTCATGCAAAACGATATTTAGGGTTACGGCTTCGGTTAACTTCGATTAGGGATAGGGGAAGTCAGAGTTAGCTTGAGGCCTATCTTGGATTTAGCGTAGGTCTAAGGTTATACAGAAAGAGTAAGAGTATGAAAGGAAGAGGACAGTCAGTTAGAAAACCGCTATTAAAAGCACAAGGGTACTAAAGCAACTTGATGACTATGCGCAACAAATTAAAAGCTTTCTGTAATCTTGACGTTATAGCGACGTCCGTTGCGCATAAAAGTTCTGAAAAACATCCGCAAAAAATCACGTTTTCGGGACTCAGGGGCACCCAACGAGTGTTTTCAGTAAAATATCTGTTTGGAGAAGCAAATATTCCCTAGAATTTTCTATCACTTGAGGACGGCTAAAAATTTCTAGATAACCTTTCCATTCATGTACAATTTTCAAAGCTTATCTAATGTATTCCCTACGATTTATTGATTTTCGCATTTCATTCCCCATGTTCGGTTATTTTTCGTAGAAAAAAGGAAATCTAGAATTTTCCGATTCAAAAGTGTACTGGAGAGAGGAATCGAAAGATGTCTCACTTTCGTAATACTTCAAATTGCATCTAAAATTTTCGGGAAATAATACTCAAGCCCTCATAATTTCGAAAAGAGTCAAGATCCCCTAGGATGACCGAACAGATACAAATTTTATAGCGCCACTTAGAATGCATTTCTACAGATCTAAAACTACTCTGGATAGCCGAAAAAGTGTTTTCAGTGTTTTTAGGAGGAAACTGACGTTGGGTGCCCCTAGGGAGTGTCCTTGGGCTGAATTATTTTAGTCCGTGACGATTGTTTGACTTCCAAACGGAAATGAATCGGGCAAATTTGTTGAAACTATTTTTGTTTTGCTATTTACTTTACTTGTTCATTGCTTTACCGTCAGGATCAGTATGCCGTCTTATATTTTGCATACAAGCTGTTAATGTACTTATTCAGGTCCACAGTTGAGAGGTTCGTCACAACCGGGTTTCCCATGGCAACGCGTTCCTCTAATTAGGGTAGTCTGAATTCATTCGTGTCTTTGCTGCCTCGTCCCCAGTCGCTCAGGATCACTTTTCAGGGGAAGGAAAGCAGGAGCCAAAAGAGTGATGGAAGGCTATCACTCGGAAAATCCTTAAATATAAAGAACGTGCGAGACCAGTTTTTATGAGCTGGCGAGACTGAGCACCCCACCCAAACCCTTGTTTTCACGAAAACCGCTGGACGCCACAACCGGGTTGAGCAGGGGCGGATCCAGGGGGAGGGTGCAGGGGGTGCGCACCCCCCCCTGGAATGACCTGAGGCTGCTTTCTAATTAACACTGTGCAGTCGCTTGACAGACATACAAAATCTGCTCTATCGTTTGATATGTATTCTCAGCAGTTCACATAATGTTATTTCCTAGTCAAAAGCCCTCTTCTTCGTATTCGCTTTTAAAATTTTTTACGTCATCAGTCAGTTAGTGGTGCACCCCCCTCGAATCACTAAACCATACTGTTACAGAGATTTTTAAGTCCAGTGAATGAATTTGGGGTATAATTCTGCTTTTCACAGTTATTGCAGTGGTCACAAGGTTCTAGTAACCACAGTATGAGTAATGTACATGAAAGAATATATGAACAGTGGAAGTTGGGAATAACAAACCTCTATGGTAAAGTTACAGGTCAAAATTAAATTCAGGTTATTGACCTTAACATAAACAAAGTCCTTGGTATAATGAACAATAGTCTCTTCCCCAGAAACAGTATTACTGAAAATAACCTTAATACATTGCCTTATAGCAAACATATACAGCCGCCAGTCCCTTGGCCCTAACTATATCTCAGTTTCACTGAATCACAATTTATATATAACTACTATCAAAGTGCACAAAAGTTGGACTTTTTGGTACTTTTATTAAGCCTGACTGTAAGTTAATGCACTACATAATTATAGTACAATGCACACAGTGGCTATGCCTAATACAAACGTTGAGGCTTTCCCATTGTGCTCTTGACGTAGAGAGCACGTACATTCTGCCAGTTCTTCTTCAACAGCGACACCAAGAAGTTAACAGCAAGATAGACATTTGCTACAAGTTCATCATGGGACATCTCAACATGACCAATGGCCACAGCAAGACACAGAACCTGCAAGTAATGCAGCAATGACCAGTTACAACAGGACACTACAGCATGTCAACATACCGACAACATACGATAATATTTGTACCAGTTTGAGTCAATGTACCATGCAGCATGGAACATATGCATGTACTTATATTCTACTACAGGGTCACATTAAATAAGCCCATCCAGTAATATTATTTATCTTTTTAGGAGACACATACTTGTACTTGTGTCTGACAAGGTCATCATTTTACAGGAGAATGCCAGAAAATTTAATTAAATTTACGAAATTATGGAATTTTTCGGGGTTTTACGGATGAACAATATCCAAAAGGCCTACTTGCCAAAAATTAGCCTTCCAGGGCAAATTGCCTTTGAGATATCAGCCCAGCTATGCTCTGATGACTCCATACAAATCCTTCTAAATATGACCCAGTTCATAACATTAGGAACCAGGTAAAATGAAGAAGGATTTGCATGGAGTCATGCTCCGAGACAATTTGCCTCACAATGCTAGTTTTTGGCAAGTACATGTAGGCCTTTCAGATGTTGTTCTTTTAAAATATTCCCACAAATTCCAAAATTTCACAAATTCAACTTTGATGACATCATCACTTTAGGACTCTATGCAGGGTAATCAAACACAGTATTTGATTCTGAATTCCCAACTTGTCAGTAGAATTTTGATTCTGGCTTTCAGTCATTAGTAGGATCGGGATTCCTTAGGCTGAGTTCTGGATTCCAAATCTCAGTAAGTAAAAATTCCCAGCATCCCATAATACTACTGACTACTACTAGTTTGGAGCCAGGTGCACCTCATGGGACACCGAGGTATATATCATGTCTCATGCAACTAAAATAAATGCTGGTTTTATCAACCAAGCTTTGCCCAGAGTGATATTTGTCGACTGTAAAAGTCTCCCCATGGATTTAAGACCCTGGGTGCAGGTCCGACCAGATGAACAAACAGTTATCTGGTCTTCCAGAAAATAAGGCCTTATCAGTGCTCAAAAGAAATTAATACGTCAAGATTGACTCTTACAAAGTTTTCTATTGTGCTTTATTCTGGAATTTGACACTGCCTGCTGAATGATGTCATCCACAATTCCCTACTCCAGAAACTATAAGGGGAATTAGTACAAGCTTTTGGTTCCATGAATTCTGAGATGGTTTGAGTGTGGACAGGCATTACTTATGGCTGGTTAATGGTTGCCTAGGACACCATCAACCAATGAAAACTAACACTTGTCCACGATCCCAGAAATGGTTGTAACAAAAGCTTGTACCCATTCCCATTATAGTTTCTGGAGTAGGGAACACAAAGATAAGCAAATGATTTGCATATTTTTAAATTAAAGTACACTGTAAGCAGTGAAGACTTAAGTACATGCATCCTGAAGGCTGTGACTTTTACTGTACATTGTACACATATGCCATACCAACTTTACAAATTCCCTAGTTTCTTTGAGCACTGTGCCTTATTTCTGGTGAATATCCTACCTTCTTCATCTGAAACTTTATTGTTGAGCGCACTTCCTCCACCTTCTGCACCATGTTGTCATTATGCGTCAGCGCTGTGGGAAATTTGCCAGCCTTGTTCAGACCAGGACCAAGAATACGAGGAATCTGCCTGATTAGACTGTCTGAAGCCAGGAAAGCATCATATTTCTTGGCTAGAAAAGAGAAATGACATCAGTGCATGGCACTTCACTCAGTGGTGTGAATGCAATGAAATAGTTGACGGCAAATTTAGAGAATACTTGGCCCCTTATCTGCATGTAAAGCATAGCATAAAGAAATTGCCGTCCTCCTTAAAAATGTCAAAAGCAAACAAAGTAGTCATGAGTTGCCTGGTATTCTGTAGTTAATCAATACAGTACGCTCTACATTGATTGCAAAACAATAATATGCTTTCTCAAATTGAGATCACAGGGCCGGATCTAGGGGGAGGGTTCAAGGGGTGAGCACCCCCCCTCCTGAGATGACCTGCGGTTTTCTAATACAACTGGTATTCTGCAAAAAAAACTATGTGGTTTATTGGTGTTGAAGTAGAGCAAGAGACGAGTGCACCCCCTCCTGAAAAAAATCCTGGATCCGCCCCTGGATCACTTTAATAAGATGGTCAATGTTCCAGAAACCCATGTTAACGACTATTGATTCACCGATTATAGCGCACTATCACAGCTTAGCGTGAAAATTTACATGCCAGAGAGGAGGGTAGATACTGTGATTGTGAAAGCAGAAAATAAAACTCTTACCAAGCTTTTTGACCAGTTTCTTGTTTTTGTTTAGCTTCTTTAAAGCTTCAACATCCATGCAAGGTATGTCATTTGCCTTGGCCTCGTCACAGTGAGATGCATCACCCAGAATACAAACCTTAAGTTTGGGTCGTGGAATATGCTTGAGCTTTACAGTTCCACTGAAACGCTTATCCTTCTGAGGATCATAATTCTTTAAGCTGATCTGCAGCTCAACAGTTTCCGTAAACTTTCTTTTCTTGTCCTTGGCACCTTGCAGTACAGCACTGCAGCACTCAAACAGCGTATCACGGTGAAGCTTACTAGGGAAATGGAAATACATGCAATGTACAAAATGATTATTTGTCCCATTGTTGTTTATTCAAGGCATGATGCTAGGACAATACTGAGCTTACACAACAGGACAGCATGATGAAGAGGACGGCAAGATGTTTGCGAGTGACAAATGTGACAGGGCTATTTGTCTTTTCTATTACTTCTGTGTTTTGTTGTGCACTTTCCTTAACATTAATGTGTTCTGCTCTTTTACAAAAAAATCTGTTTGAGGAAGATGAAGTTTGGCAGAAAATTTTTTAAACATACCAGTATTTATTGTCATGCTTGTCAAAAGGTTTGCCATCTTCCTTCATCTGCTGCACTTTTGCATAAGCTCACTAGTGATGATGATTTTGATTAATATAATTTTACTGTGATGATGATGACGATGATGATGATAGGCCATGCTTGTTAAACAAATGGTCATCAGGGTTAAAATACACTTTATTTGAAGATTAACTTCCATTTTTCGGGGACGAGCTCACCCTTGTTTGCACTTGCTTCACAACTGCTTTTACCCTGTGAGTAGAGACCCTTGCTCGCAGGGTAAACTGAGTCGTGAAGTTATGTCACATAGTTTACGTCATGCAAAACTATTTTGTCTTTTGTCACTCGAGTTACAAATAAAATTCGATAAAATCGGTCAATGTTTTTCTTTTTCTTTTCTTTTTTTGACCATCTTTGCCCTCTGTAAATCCTTCCACTTTGCTCTGTTTTTGTAGTCACGATTGTCGGGAACGAACACGGTGTCTTATACCTTGCCATTACGATCTTATCCAGAAAAGATCGAAGATACTCTGCCAACAGGGTACGTGTCTTGAATCACAATTTATTTATTAATTAAAGATAAGGAAGGTCATATATTAGAAAAATTGTTATCTTGAACACCCATCCGCGTCTATTTTTTAATGCTTATCTATCGATGGCAAGCGAGTAGGTTGAAAAGATGAGATTACAACTTCACAAACCTCATGTTGATCACTTAACGAGCAAAGAGAAAGGGAAGAGACAGTTGGTGGTAAAGTGCGCTGTCACATTGCGGGCGCTTGATACGTTCTTCTCAACCACAGGTAACCCAAGTGAATCGTCATTGTTGCGTAAAATGGGGAAGCAAAAGGATTGTTTCTGCTTACGGATGTGAAGGGATTTAAACAAAACTCTAGGTGTCCATTTTATAGAGGTGTCCGTTAAGAGAGAGTTGGCTGTAGTCACCGAGCCGGTGAATTGGGGACCACACAGGAAAGAAACAATAAACCTAGTAAGTTACCACGGTTACCTATTAAATTGTGGTCCTTACCAGTTACCTACCTTTCCCTCGCCCCCCTCCTCGCAGGTCTCTCGTACCGAACTCTTGCGCGCCCAAATTTCCCCTTCTCTATCCCGTTTTAACGCCTGACATGAAGGCTACCGAGATCCGGAATCCTTTGTGGTAATTTACCCTCGGCCTCCTACGCTGGCTGCTATACAATAATTGTCAAACATCACCACAAAATGCCGAAATCGCGCCAAAAGCCGGACGCAAAATCATCTCACGAGAAACAAGAAGAGGTGACCGTTGTGGACAAGGCGGTCGTTGAAGCATCCTCGGAACCCAGGGGGCAGTCAGACAGGTCGGGAGAAAAGGCCCTATTAAAGTTTACTGGAAAAATTTCTTCGTTCCTTTTCTCCCGACCCGACTGACTGCCCTTGGGTCTCCGAGGATCGGGAGGATGTCGTTGAAGACATATAAAAAATGTTTGGGAAAAAAAATGGTGGGATGGGGGTTTTGTGATTAAATAGTGGCCGCGAGGTGCACCAGTTGGTCAGTTTCAGAGGCCTGTATTTCAGCTATTTAATATTTTCCTTTTTTTATTGTTTCAGAACAGCAAACTGCCGCTAAATACAAAAAAAGAAAGTGATTTATACAGTATAATACCAGAATTAAGAAGTAAGTACATGGAATCTAAGCTTCCTTCATCGTTGCAAGAGCTAGTGCCACACACGCTGAATAAAACCTCCTTGGAAATACTGCACCAAAACGGCGACGGCTGAATCGTAGCCAGTGGGTACGAGGTTAATTTCAATTCATTGTATTTTTTATTTCAGCCTTCGGACAAACATCACACCGTTTTGGAAACTAGTTTCTTCCAGTAAGAATGACCACAGCATAAAGGCATGCAGGTGTCTGGATCGAAAATACTTAATTTTTGCGTCCAAACATGACGCCCAAGGCTCTTGACATCCTTTGGTCGTGGAGTCGCGCTTTCTGTTTTAGAACTCTGAGCTGTTCTTGAACTGCTTTATTTTGAGGGTCGAGTGTCAAAGCCTAAAATCAATCAAACCAGGAAAAAGAAAGTTAAAGAAATACATGTATAATGATACCTCAGTAACTAACTGACCTTCTAAGATTAGAAAGGGCGTCAGGCCGGCTCTCTGATTAACAGAAACTACCAAAGTTTAAAGACATGGCATATGATTCCATTCTAACCCCCCCGCATTAAAACATTTCTCGTTAGATCAATGACCAAATAGATAGATTGACAGATAGATAGATGCTTGTTTATTTTACCCAATTGCAGCATTGACTGAATTGCTGGGTAGGCCAGCAATAAGTAAGCATGTACAGTTACACAATATGTTGATATTTGACAGTAGCAATTTTAGTCGGCCGAGTACGGGTCTCGGATTGCGGAAACGAAGAAAGCCAATAGCCTTTTCTTTTTCTTTTTCTGTACATTTCTTTTCATCATGTCGCGTTCTGAAGCGTATATGTGTTGATATCTACAGCAATGACAGGCAAATAACTTGAATTGGTGCGAACCTAAACTGAAGTATCATCAACATATAAATTTCAACCTATTACGCCAACCTCCACACAAATTAGTACTAGGATCGCAAAAAGAAATGGAGCTAATTTCGTTCCTTGTGGGATCCCTCCACGGTCTTACTCGCTGCACTCGACCTGTCAAATTAAAAGATCTGATCCAGCGAATGATAACTTCGTGTACGCTTAGGAGCTGCAACTCTCGAACCAGCATGTTGTGGTCCACCAAGTAGAATCCTTTGCTGAAATGAGCAAAGAATACACGAACGTAGGTATTGCCTTGGTCAAGGGACTGAAGGAGGGCGTGGAGAAAGTAAACAAGAGCGTGCGTGGGTGGTAGATTTTTCCGCCGGTGCAAATCGGTAAACAACAAGTTTATCGCAGACCTGATTCAAAAGGGTAGACAGTGTAAAGCCGTCCACGATCTTTGCGAGGTGCGACATAAGCGAAATTGGACGTAGATCAGGATCTAGCTGTTCGACGGATTTTGGCGGAGAGCACTTTGGCACCGGGACAACATCCGACTGTTTGAGGGGTTCGGGCACATAACCTTCAATTATCGATTGATTGATTGATTGATCGATCGATCGATCGATCTAAATGAATTTGTTCTTTAACGATAGTATGATCTATCAAACTTTCCTTTCTGTCGGCTACCAAATTTTAAACGGACAAACCTCACGATAGATCAGTGGGAACAGGAAACGCTCAGAATGAAACATCTATGATGCCATCGCTGTTACCTTTTCTAAGTCTTCCCTTGCCTTCTCAAATTCATTTAACACCACAAATGCCTGTAAAGTGTCATGAACAAAATTGAATCATTAAACATAATATAATTATTAAATATTAATGAATTACATGGTATGAACTGCTATGTTTATTAAATTTAAACATCTTTGTGGCATAATTACCGGCGGATCACACTCTGCATTTACGGTAATTTTTCTTAAAACTCTGTACTAATACCTGATACATTTTTACCATTTTACCTGTCCTCTCCTGAACAATGCTTTGATGTTTGTCGGCAGCATTGCAAGAACCTACAGGGTGACAAAAAAAAATAGAAGTAATGTGAGAGATATATCGATGCTTCTTCCTAAATATTCACTGACATCATCATCATACCTATAATAAATTAATGACATTGTAAAGGCGTAAATATTATGATATATCATGCTAAAATGAGGGCTCGAAACAGTCCCATCTTATCGTCCAGGACAAGTAGGTTTTTTTACTGAGAAAGAAACTGTTTAAGCTCACTTGTCCAATGGACATAGGGTCCAGGCAGATCGTCTTCCAGCTATTAAAAAATCATTATCTACAAAGACAAGCAATTAGTTACTCTGGGCAAGCAAAGCGTGAGAGTTTTTGTTTTTGACTCTTCTTTTGCATAAAATTACATGCACTCATCAATTTCCCGTTTTCACCTCATTTCCACAAGAAAGGTTGGGCACCTAGCCTCATTTTGAAAGTGAAAGTTTTTGGAACTCGGAAGTGGCCTTAGCTATTATTGCATTTGTACTGCCTCGAGCTATTAACATAAAGTATCATTCTCATATAAAAACTGTAAAAGACGCTACGTTTATCAACTCTAACCTTTGTGCAGTTTTGTGCAACAAATTCGTACTGTTCCATTTTTCCTTGACATGCTGATAAATTTAGAAGGCATGAAACTCTAAGCTGGTCATACTCTTCTCTGCAATTCTCTGGTAGCTGATCACCAATTAAGATCAGTTGCTTCAGAGCTTGGCTGTAGCGTCTGGCTGCACACAGCCACTTACTTGCCTAAAAAATATGTTGACGAGGAAATAATCAAGCACTCAGAAAACTTGGCTCAGGTAATGATATTATTTCAAACCTCTCAAACCCTTTTTGTTCCCTTTTTACTAATTATGCATGTAGTGCAACAAAAAAGGGGAGGCACAAGGCCAGTGGACTAAAATTAAACCTGAGTTTACATAAATATAGTTACACTTTACATATTTCCCTAGTAGAGGATCTTATTCAAGAAATAATCACTATAGACAAAAAAAAAAAATAACAAATCAAATAGAAAAATTTTTAGTGTCAACATCCATCCTAACAGGTGCACACAATGATTACAGGTCCTGTATATATATAAAAAATAAATGGACAACTATTCAGGACTATATAGCATGAGATCAGCCAAACCCTGACACATTCAGACTACAGTTACATGTATTTACATGTATCAGAAAAAAGGCGGGTTTGGTATTAATAAACATGTAGGACATGTATGCCTTTTCCAACCAGAATACAGCCACACCTAACAGAAAATGTGGGTCTCAGAAACTTTTCACCCACTCTTGAAATCTCAGAAAAAAATGCTATATGTAATGATGAGTTGTTGTTGTTGTTTTTGGTTTGTTTTTGTGTGACTTTGTTTTTTATTTATTGCTTGTTTGCTTTTTCTTTTAATTTAGTTTCCTTTTTGTAAGGTTAATTTCTTGCAAGGTCTTTGTTTGAGTGTCTGAGCAAGTCTTGGGTTCATCATTCACCCCTTGGTACCCCTACATCGACATAAATGTGGGTTATGGATTTTTGACATGATAAGATTAATCATTTACTTCACCGTAATAAGGAGAATTTATAAAATGTGTTAAACTACGAACAACTGAACCATAACTACTACTGTCTTATTCAGGGTTTTCATTAAGAATTCTAGTAACAGGAGAAGTGTTGCCACGCTCATCCCCACTATAACATTGCGTGACGACACTAACGGCTGTGTAGCAGACTAGAGAAATGTAACGTTACAGGAGAGTATTTTAAAAGAGGATCCACATCTGAATATAATATAATCATAGGCTATCAAACATTTGCCAGAGAATTAAGCCTTATTAACAGAGAATTCTCCAATCTCCAATGCCTAATGAACCCTCTCCTCATTGTTCAGTTGACCTTAAAACAATCTGTTCCTTTGGTTTTATGATGTTTGGCCAATGTCACTTTTTCCTCTGGGGAAGTTTCCCAAGGCTCCTTTGCCTGTAACAGATTCAAAGGGAAAACTTATGCAAGATTGGTACTTACAGTCACATCATAAGTTTACCTAAGGAGAAATAATGAATTTCATCCAAATCAAATATAAGATGTTTTGAACACTCCAATAATTTTTGGAAATATATATAATTTACCTGTTTTACTTATTTTATCAGCTTTGCCTTATATACATGATTCACAAAAAAAGAAGGATAATAGATGCATTACACAAAATAAAGAATTAAAAAACACATAATTTGGTAGGGGTCATGCCTTAATTTTCAGCCTTAAACTAATTACAGTGGTCCCAGGGCTGGAAAAACATGTATAATACAGTACTGCGACATATGATATGTCGCATGATGATGCTATAGATCAATTAAAGACAGCAGTGGAGATTTATATGGACGGGCAGATTACATGAAATGATGCTCAACTTTTACTTTTTATACTTGATAATGATGTATACATGTAAGTAAACGACAGTTGATTATTGGCATCTGCAGGTCACATACCTTAGAGAAAGAAAGAAGCTCAATTTCACATTGTAGACCACTCTCAGAAGAGACACTTTTCTCTTTGTCAGCAGTATCACTGGTGTATGGTATAACACAGACTTCACTGGTATGCATACATTCTAAGCATCTATCCAAGGACTCTGACACTTCACTGTCCCCTATAAAACCAGGAATTTTAAACTCTTTAGTAAGTGATCATTTAGTTTACACTCCCTTTCTCTCCACCACCCTATGACAAGGGTAAAGAGACCTTGCTTGCAGGGTAAGGTATTCACAATATTTTTGTAGGTGACTGGTCATAATCTGATAAGCCAGAGTATAAAATTCACTAAACCATTCAAATTTATAAATAATTGCACTCTACAATTTAAGCTCTATCGGAGAGGCTTCAAATGACTGGCGGCATGTACCACAGCGCAGGATTTTGATCATGATAGATACCATAGTCTTGCCATAACTTGGTCTTGTAAAAGGAGGGTTTGAAATTTGAAGTGGCTGGGGAGGGCTTGCACTCAGGTGCAAATTGAGGGTGAAGGTCCATGATCTTTATGCAGTGAAAAAGAGAGGGAGCACATAAGTTAATGCATGCATTGGCAAACATTGTCAAACATTAATATGGTCTAAATCTCAAAAATGTGAACTTTGAACAACATCAATTATTTAATATTCTATCAAACTGAACAGGCAACATCATTTTTAAGACAGTGGGTGGAGATGGGGGAGGGGCAGTAAACAAAGTGCTCCGCAAGGTGGAAGGTCAGGAGAATTGAAACATATGCTCATGCCAACTCTCCCGGATTATCCAGTAGTCTCCTGGATGCGGCAGTGATCTCCGACTCTCCAATGTGGGTCACAAAATCTCCCAGATAGAATGGACTTTTGACCTTTTGTGGACTTTGGTTTGAAATTTAGCCCATGATTTTTTTCTCAAAATTCAAACTTTTTAAATTTATTGTACAGTCTCTGGGACATTAGTCACTCTGAGAAATATTATTTTGCTGTTACTATGATGAAAGCGAATTTTGATAATAAGTACTTCATGTAAGACTTCATATAATGTCCTAATTAGTGGGCTGTGGGGTGCATTTACATGGGGGGGGGGGGGGGGGTAGTGGGTAGTGCAAAAAAGAGAGTCACCAGATTTTACATAGATCTCTGGAGGTTGGCACCTTTGTCATGCCTCTATTCTCCATAGACAAGACAAGACAAGACAGAGTCTTGGAGTCTTATACAGTCCTATGTGCATCGAATTTGCACATTGCACACTAGTGGGACTATAATCCACGTTAACCTAAAGAACAAATGATCTTCTTTTCTCATAGCAGTCGAATACGTATTTTGCAATTAACTCTTGTACTGGTTTGTTCTTGCTCGGAGGGTCTATTAACAACAGAAAAACATCATCTGGTGCCATTCTGTTTACTGATGTTCTGTATTCTTTGTTTAAGTATTCAAATAAAGTACTACTTTTTTCTTGATACGCAGGGCACAGAGTTAAAAAATGTATTTCATCTTCTACCTCTTTTTTACAGATAGGACAGATCCTCTCTTCCGGTTCTTATAAGGTCTTACATACCGACCATCGTGTCTCTTATCGCCAATTTGTGATTACTTAGATGGAGTTTAGTTAGAGTTATCCGGTGTCGGATGTTGGTGACCTGACGGAGATAATCTCCACTTTTATAATTATAATTTTCTATATGTACTAGTAACCTCGCCCCCCAAATAACGACAGGTTTCTATTTTACTCCCAAGTGCTATTATTCGAGATACTCCCTATTCGCTAACAACTAATACCTACAGCGCGGTAGATCTAAGGTGTGCCCCTGACCTCCATCCTCAAATCAAAATTCAAAATCAGCACTTTGGGATTGGCCCAAAGAAAGATTGAAGTCTCACAGCTGATTTAATTATCTTAAGTAACTTAATATCATTTTCAGATCTAGATATAGAGCTAGGCTTGCATTCCGGTTTATTGACAAGACGTACAGTAATATAAGTAAAAGAAGTGATACTCACCTTCACCGATTACTATCTTCTTCTCGTACTCCTGAATTACACTTTCATCTTGACGAAAAACTTTCAGTTTCACTGCAAAACCAGTACATGCAGAGTGTAGGTCTACTAGCTCATATTATACCGGTACGCTGAGGCAAAAAAAATCCAGGAGAAAAGAAGATCGTTACCTTTACAAGAAGAACCATAATTAGGCGTTTCTAAACCGGTTCCTTTTCGAACAACAGTTCTTGAAGCTCCTGTCGCGGAAATGTCAACCATGATAATCCGCCATATTGAAAGTTAAGAAAGCTCGGCGATGATTGGCTAGCAGATCATCGCTGGGCCAATCATAAGACAGTATTCCAGCTGAATCCGCAGACTTCTTCAGGCCACGAAACGTGCAGAGGTTGTCTTCTTTTTTCCGAAGATTTCATATGGCTAAAGCCATTGGAAATCGCGGAAATGGTCCGTTATTTGGAATTTGAACATATTTTTAAACATCCTTTTGAGAAAGTTATTCGTGCATACTTCCAAAAGGTAAGCGCTGGATCGGTCATCGATGGTAATTGATTTCGTCGTGAAGAAATAAGCTTAATATATAAGCTTGGTCAATAATTGAGGGTGCGTTTAATATCGGTGGGGAAAACTAGTCTGCTAAGCCAAGTGATAAACTTTTTCCCATGTTAACTAATTCTACCAACTGGTAGACATTTTATTTAGGCCTGTAATACAAGGTCACGAGGTAAGACAAGAACAATTACCAATGTAAGCCTATAGTATTGCTTCAGCTGATTTCCTCCCTAGAGCTCTTACAACATCAGCTACAGCTGTTTCGGATACACGAGACCTGCGAAGTCAAAAACGTCTTTGGATTTTGGGTGCTATGTTAACGGTTTGATTGACGTCGGAAAAAAGTCAACGTCCTGAAACGTTTCGCGTTTTATCCGAAACACTAGAGCTGTTTAAATGAAATCTGAAAGCTCTATTCAAATTAGCCCTTTGGTCTTTGTCCGTTGTCATAGGTTACTTGAAAAATCAACAAAATAACATTATTGAAAGAATTACTACTAAATTCGTTGTACCGCGCTGCACGTTTTGTAAACTTCGAAGGGATTTTGGGTTTTTGTATTCCGTCAATCATTTGAGTGGGGGTGGGGTACCCAGTTAATGCAAATTGTAATGGGCACTTTCCATTTAGTCAACATTTCCGGAATTTCCAGTTGGGCGGTAACTGGAACATGTTTTGTCGGTTCGTCCCATTGGAAAATTCCCAGAAAAAGTGGAAAATCTAAAAAGGTGGGCCCGTTGTCCCAGTTGCAATTTGCGAACAGAATTTTGTGTTCCATTTACACGTTTCTCGTAGTTTGTACCAGTTCCAGGTCCATGGTCGGGCACTGCGACTTACCGGAGTTTACTACCAAATGAAACAACTTTTTACCAGGCAGAAATTCCACCTTTCTCCCACCGAAATTTCCGTTTTTTTTCCTAAATGGAGAGTGCCCAACGTTTGAACATGTTGCCCAGCTTGACCTGCAAATTGAAACAAAACTGAAAATGGCAAAGAGAATTGCGATGGTGAGTGGAATTTTTCTCAAGGGAAGGAGGCAGACATTGCTATATTCCTTCAAATGACAATAATAAGAAAGATCAGAAATAAAGTTTGAAGCAAACTAGTCGATTATAGCCCGAAACAGGATGATCACAAGCAGCGAACCTTGAAACACAGAAACAAACCAAACAGATCAAAATCCACCAATCACAAATAACAAACCAAGATCTTTTGAACTTGTTCAAGTAAACTTGTTTCCTAAGAAGTCCGCTAAGATGATTGACGGGACAGGAAAGCCCAAAATTCCTTTAAAGTTTGCAACCTACGCAGCACAATACAACAAATTTGACAGTAACTATCCAGCCCTTCTAGTCTTTCCAGTCCAGCTTGTCTGATGACATGACCTTAGGTGTTGAATTTTTATTTATTTTTCATTCCCGCACAGTACACAAGTGGTAAAGATAGCAATGTGACGTCAATAAGAGTTCTGGAACACAAAGTAGGTAGGTGCACATTGTCAATGGTAGTTTTTCTGATCACTTTCAATCACTGGATATCATCCTTAAAATAAAACACCTTTGAACAACTATATATTTGATGACAGTGATCTCAGCACTTTTGAACATTGCTATAGGCCTTTTGCATTAGTTGATTCCGGAGTTGATCACCTGATCAACTTTTGGTAAACACGAAAACAGTGTGCTTTGGAAAACGTTTGCTAGCACAAGCTGAATGAGCATAATTATTAAAATTAGGTGACCTAAAAATTTTAAGCCATATATCCCAGAAGCAGCAATTGCAACCCCCGGCGAAAAATAGAAGGATTTGTATGAGAAAAACAACTCTTCCCACCCAGTCATGCTTGACTCAAGCATGACTGGGTGGGAAGAGTTGTTTTTCATACAACTCCTTGTAAATTCTGAAATTTTTAAACTGTCTTTTAATCTTTCTCTTATGCATTTAAGGGCTCAAAGTGCCTGTTATTAATTAAAAGGACATTTGAGCCCGGTAAGTTGCTATTTTAAGGAAATACCGTAAAATTCTGAAAATAAGCCCCTCCATGTATAAGCCCCTCCAAATATAAGCCCCCCAATCCGGTAATGCAAAAAACCCTCCGCTAAATCGCCCCTCCAAATATAAGCCCTCCGGGGGCTTGTACTTGGAAAATTACCCTCAAATACAAAGCAAAAACGGTAAATTTACGTCCAACTATATGGCTAGCCCAATCGATTTAGAAACGCGAATTTCCCTCTGTAAATAAGCCCCTCCGAATATAAGCCCCTCCAAAAATAAGTCCCTGGAAAAGAGCTTTTGAAAAATATAAGCCCGGGGGCTTATTTTCGGAATTTTATGGTATTTTGCGACAATTTGAAAATTTCAAAATTTAAAAAGATTTGTATGGAAAACCATTCAAGGGTGAATGAGGGGCAAATTTTATTTTTTTCATGCAAATCCTTCTAATTTTTGGCGGCCGTTGCAACCTCTACTTTTGAGATATACGTGTACGGCTGAAAATATACTGGTTACCTAATTTTGATATGCTCATTCGGCTCGTGCCAGCAAAATATTTCCAAAGTGAACTGTTTTCGTGTTTACCGAAAGTTGATTAGGTCTCCCATATGTCACCAAAGTTAATATTAACCAGAAGGCCAGGGAAATGCTCTACATGAAATAGGCCAGGTTATCATGAAATGTGGCTTAGCAGGTCTGATTTTGAGTTTATTAGGGAGTAGTTTAAGATACCATGACTGCCCCTGTGGTTAAGATGTCACGGAAAAGGTGAATTCACATTGTTTGAAAATTCACCTTGGTCACTTATTACACTGAATTTTTACATTTTGAATCAATTATTATAAAATTTGTATTAAATTGGCTGTTTTTATTCTGACGTACAGTATGTTGTTACAAGTACAAATTTACATTCATTTGTACAGACCTGCGAGTGAGTTTCATGTGCCTTTTGTTTCTTCTCTTAGACCCAGAAACTGGTGAGGAGTATATGATCAGAAGAGGGGAATGCGTTAATGTTTTACCAGGCATTTTAAAAAAGGTACAAGTACAAATTTGAAGGGTCAACACTGGTAGAAGTGACAAGTTTGAATATATATTTTAAAACAAAGTAATTTAATAAAGGCTTTGTTGCACTTCTAAACTGTATCTAGAGGAAATAGGAATATGTTTATCACCTAGTGATATTATTTTGCTTTTGTGAAGCAAAATGATATTGTATACACATGTACATGCAACAGCAGTTAGTCAACCAAACTACACACATGTAAGGTCAGCCTCAGGAATGAAACAATACATCATAGTCTATATAGGCTGGTCAACAGTTGACCTGGTAACACTTCACCTAAGTCAGCTTTCAGACAAAGGTTTATGATTTGATATCAGTAAAAATGTAGGTCAACAAAAAAAAAAAACAGTGACTTACACATTATCAAAGAAAGAATAATGGTAACATTTTATATTGTACAGTATAATAATATTGTAATAAACACCTCTTTTCTCTACTTCATTAATATTCCTGAATATTGATAATTATTATTTCCCTTTTGAATGTGAAAATGTATAAGAATGGGCTTGCATTGGTTCTCTACATTGTATTTTAATTCCTACTTTGAAAGCTAGAATTCACATACAGTAGAACAAGCATGATATACTTTTCATAAAAATACATTTCTCGAATAATTACGTAGGTCTGTCCATACCCAGCACTTGAAGTTGAAGAGGAAGTGTGGTTAAACAAAAAAGAGAAATGTCTCCATCTTCACTGTTACAACTTGACATGGTCAAAGTATGCTTTTCTTGAAGAGTACAGCTGCTATCGAGCATGTGACAGCAACCCAGACTGGTTAGTCCTGTTAGCCACTATTAAAGCAATCTTATTTCAATTTTTACATGTATCTTAGTTTACTGTATAACTTTAGCTAGCAGCTGGGCCTGGTTTGCAAGCATTTTCTCTAGTGCATTATCTCAGCCCAGATTGCAAACAATACAGTCAGCCAGAAGTCAACACATCTAAATCATCAGCTAAGACAAGCAAGTAATTGCCCTAGGCAGCAAACTGTAAGAGCCAGTTGCCTAAAGGACATGCTGGAATTCAAGACTTTTTTTTCCAAGCACTGCTGCAATTATTTGAATTTCTTTTTATATTTCTTGGTAATGTGTGGAGGTCTCTTACTGTATCATTAAATGGAAAAATTAATTGCTAAAAATGACCTCACCTTTAAACTGAAGATTGGAAAAACATAATTTCTGAACATGTCTTGCAATCAATTAGTTGAAATAAGCTAGTGATTTTCATCTCTACATAGGGAAGAAAATAATAATCGCCGAGGATATAACAGCAGACATTAATATTTTTGTGGCATTTTCAGGACATTATTTGAGCAGCGAGCTAGTATCAATGTCTACGGTGTTGGTTCAGTAATTGGCGGAATGTTTGAAGCCTTTGGACAAAGGTTCTTTCAACATGGGGCTAAAAAGGTAAATTTTTTGTGAAATTCTTCCATTAATTGCTGCCTGAAACGTCAAGTTTGCTTGTCAACGACCCAGTTTTCTTCAGTGATTTTGTTTTTGTTCTAATTTTTTTTTGTTTTTCGTTTTTGCTTCATGTTTATTTTCTACACATGAATTGAAAGGTTACATTTTTAATGTACATGTTTCATATTACGTCCATTCAATTAAATGAACACTAGAAAAAGTGAAGTTTATCTATCCACTTTCTTGTTGTTGTTGTTTCAGGGATTCAACATTATGGAAGATCTTATAGTGGGTTCATAAACTCAAGCTTTAATACCCAGACGTCGACAAACTGAAACAGAAGAAGAGTTAAAATTCTGGTGCTTTTAAAAAATAGCTTCTTCAACCTAGTATTGCCTTTTACACAAGAAATTCTTTCAGATTTTGCATAAATGGCTCTTCAAAGAAGAACTGAACTTTCAAATGAGAACAGCTGTCAGCATCCCAACTGGAACTTGCTACACTTTTCTTTTATGAGTAGACTTTCCCATGTCTTGCCTAGTTCATCACTATTCCACTCAACGGGCCACACTGCTAGCCCAAAGTTCAAATCAACATATCAGTTTACCTTGTTGCAGGTAGCCTGAGTAAACTTAATGTTAGGTAGCGTCAAACCTCTAATTAGCCTCTATGACATGCAGCCGAATTCCTTTTGTAACATACCGACTACTCAAGTAGGCAAACCCGTAGAATAACTACTGTACACTGTGCGTTATGAGCGAAATTGATAATATATACCCCGAAAGCAAAAAATATTCGAAGAATAGTTAAGTTATGAGGGTCTATGTAAAATGTCTACAAAAAATTGGCAAGCATGATAGTACGTGTAATAGAGGTATCACTTCGAGGCCTTCCCATACTATTTTTTTGTTGTTTTGTTTTTTTTGTTTACGTCGTCCGTCAAACCCGCGCAACGCTTGCCATTTTCTATACAAAAGGGAACGACGTAGTTCAACCTTTTTTTGTTTCTTCAATTCTTTTAATCTGAAAAAATCAATGAGCATTGTAACAGCATTTCCAGGCATAGATGTTTTGGTGGTATATCCTCTTTCCTTTTTACTTTCCAGGAAAGTTCTCGTTCCGGGAAGCCTATAGTTTATAAGCTCCCGGCTTCTATATTGGCTTCCTTGCCATTACCGCTTTAAACATTTGATGTTGTTAATAATTTAGTTAGAATATTGTATATTATCTTCAATATATTATAAATTTCTGTATACTGTTGTTGTATTTCTGGTTAATGGCAAAAATACATGAGTGAATGAATGAATGAAATCGACCATCGTATAATTTTCTACCATATTCTACCATACTGAGTTCGTGTTGGTTTGGTAGTAACCATGTGTTGTGTCTACAGGTTCCTCGGCAATGATGCTGGGGTTTCAGGCCTCCTATTCTCAGAATTCTTGTGATTTCGATAAACGTTTTTTTTTTTTTTTTTTTTTTTTCATCCGACCAACCGACTGAAAAAAAGGAAACGCATTCGACGCTAAACGAAGAAAAAGGGGACGGCCTGACAGAGGTAAAAAAAAAACACTGTATTCGTGTCAGCAGAAAGTCGGGCTTTGCAATCTCGCCACTTTGTCGAAAGTGGCTGCCTTTGGATACATGTTCTTAATTTTCCTAAGTGTTGATGTTAAAAATAGAGCGAGGGACATTTATGAAGTAACACTCACTAAAAAGCATGACACTGAAAAACGAGAAAGATTTAATAAGCACTTAGAAAATATTTTTTATTGTGCAATTATGAATTTTCTCCAAAAAGGACAAATTATGTTCCCCCTTTTCCCTCTCTTTCTGACTCCGTTGCTACAAGTCTTCATTGGTTATCATTGCATTTCGCTTTTTGTTCACATTTCGGGACAGACAACTTCACTTAACGCTATATAGCCTCCCTTGCAACCAGCCCATGCATTGTCAAAACCATGGTTATAAAGTAGTCCACGGACTTCACCCAAGCCATAGAGAAACGTGTATAGTTGGAAATTAAAATCCGTGGGCAGGGTTGTTCAAAGCTATGTTAGGATATGAAAGCTTAATAAGCAAATTCAGTTTAGTTCTTCTTGTCTACAATTTGATGGGTGGATGTTCCAAAAAGAGTGGCGAAAAATATCAGAGAAAGTGCTTTTGAACAAACGAAAATGAAAGCCGGATTAAAAATTTAACCCCGGGTTAGCGATAAACGGTCTTTAAACAACTGGGCCCAGCTGTCTCAACTACAACCTCTTGACAATAGTTTTTCCCTTCTCTTGTCGTGCCAGTATAAGCGGATAAGAGAAATGCATAAGTACTCCCTGGAAAGGAAATTCCACTTTCGGGAAGGAAAAGCTTGATTTTCGCGGTATTCCGGTGCATGAATAATTAGGTGATACGATCTCCCGTTATCCACTACCACTACCCCACCCCGTCTCTGGTTTTCCTCCTCACAGTCTCTGAGCCAACCCCGCAATCTGAACAACTAGAACAGGGTTCTCATACATCTGCAATAAACCTGCATTTACATTGCGCCGTTTGTTTAATGCGAAACCCTCAATGGTCTAAGCTCTTTAAAACCTTAATTTTTCCTCCCTCACAAAGACATGACAAGCAACTTATTTGTGTTCCTTCGTTTATTTCTTTATTACATTTTACTTTAAGAGTATTGGATATTATCGGGGATTAAATTGCGAATTATTACAAACAGAGAAAAATTAAGATTCCCTCCGGTTAGGAAATCTGATATCTGCTCCATTTCAGTGGGCGGTTGGCAGAACTACACAGCGCAACCATGCGCTTGTTTGACGTCATCAATGAACTTTTGCACGGTACCACTGCCAGCTACAGTGTTGTAATGCGTCTTCCAGTACTGTGCCTGCGATGGCAGGTCAGTTGGGATAGGAGGAGAAAGCCTGGCGAGAAAGAGCCGAGAAGCCAAACCAGAGTACAGCGGCTTTTCCAAGTCTTGCCAACTTGTTTGGGTCCAATCAATGCCGAGCTTTGCCTTGATTTGGTCCCAATACTTTTTCAGGCCTGTCTGAATGACGGTCTCGCGGTAACCCACCTCATCAACCTTGAGTATCAATAAAACAAAGAATATCAAGTATTGCCTTCAATAGTTAATTATCGCCCCGTGTAAGAGAATCTAAGACAGTCTTGGACCTAGATTCCACGCCGTGTATTCCGGATTACAGGCATTGGATTTCAGTCTTTGTCAGTGGAACTTAGATTCCGGATTACAATCGTTACTCGGATTCCGGATTCCTTGGGATGTATTGCGGATTCCAAAGCCCAGGAATTTCGCATTTCACAAGCAAAACTTTCCCGGATTCTGGATCAAAAGCAAACATTTTCGGGATTCCAGAAACTGGATTCCCTTAAGGTGATGTTACAGCGCAACACAGCGTTGCAACATTGTTGGGACATTGAATCGAATGGTTGCAACGTTCTCCGGTGAATTAAGGAATGGGGCACTGCAAATTTGGAGGGGGGTGGTCTGTTTTAGTGGGGATTTTACCTTTCGCATTAATATTTTAAATTCAATATCTACTCCCCTTAAGCATTCATTTTTCATTATTACTAATGTATTATCTGTGTCACGTGACTTGTCACACCCATTTTTGACTTTTTATTTCAATCCAAATTTACACCACTTTATAAATAACACTTGTAATTTAATTCACTTTTTGTCAATGACTATTGACACAAAGTTTATGGAATTAACCGGGGTTTTCTTAAATTATCTACGTTTTGTAAACTATAACGTTTCTTGTTAAGAGGGAGACTGGGACGAGAGAAAAATATCTAATAATTACGAAGGAATGGATCATTTCACAAATCCCCGATTAATTTAGCTTATTTGACTGTAAATGAAATATTATGGAAGGAAAAACGATTGTGGTCACATTCAGTAAACTGGTGTAATCTGCAAAGTCCAAATTTTTCATAATTATGGGCGTGGCTGGTCACGTGATCTAAAAAAGGGAGTGTTTAAGGTCCAAAGTGGTTCTGGTCTTAAACACAGCGGTCTAAGATTAAAATAAAGGAAGATACTGGAAAAAACAAGACCAAGTCATAAAACCCCGCATGTAACGAGGACCCATTCCTTAATTCACCGGAGTTGTTCCATCATTGCAACGCTGGTGTTGCGCTCAAAATCGTCCTTGCGAATTGTCTCGTGTAATATCACCTTTACACGGGGCGATGATTACAAGAAAAAACTAAATAGTCAATTCAGTTTGATAAGGAATTTGAGCGTGCGATAACGAGAGAAAACTCATGTCGCTTTTGTCTTTGCTGTTTTTTTTTTATCATAATTTATTTGAAAGAGTCCGCTTACCTGCCATATGCCGCCATAGTAACCACTCCTGTAGGTATTAGGATCCTCCCCATATTTGGACTCTACCCAGGCCACGCGGCAGAGAAACTTGTGATCGTTAGGGAAAATCCCTAATCCATTTATGGTGTCTACGACGTCCTTCACAACGCCTGCTCCTTTTCCTTTCGGTGTGTAAGCCATGCTTTGCAGTGAAGATGAACTGGGGAGAAACTGGAAAGAAATGACTGAGGGTATATATCATGCAGGCATAATTTAAAGCCTGATAACATAGAAAACTGTCAATAATTATTTGGATTTTGCCTGACGCTGTGAAATTGACCAGGATCTTCAGTTGGAATTCTTTTTGGCAAAAGATTATGTACAACACTGTAGAGCCTGAAGGTCGATCGTCAGTTTAGGTCATTTTAAACAGGGACGCCCAACGTCACTTTTCGGAAAATATCGGTTCGGAAGACGATTTGAGATCTAGAATTTGCCGGAACATTTGTTGTAGAATTTCTTGCTTGCCTGCCTCTCCTAGGATTTTCGAACATCTATAAAAAGGTATAATTGCCAGCTAGGAAATCCGAACAGATGAAAAAAAATTTAGGGTATAAAAATATGCGTATATCTACCGTTTAAATACTAAAATACGTTTAACAATGCTATGTTTAAGTGGTTTTGAACTATATTCTCGTGGGGTGCCCTTGTTTAAATCAGTAATCGGCTGCTGGTAACTGATAATATTATTGAATCAAACATCTTGTTTTGACCTTTATTAGCTCCTTCAGTTCCGAGAATCTCTATTGATTATACGTCAGACAAATGACGACGTTTTTTGTAACAAATAAGAATGAGAAATAACTTTCTTTTTTTGTTTGTTTATGGTATGATGAGAATTGTAAATGATGATTATGTTGCACAATGTCTTAGGGGAAAAGTTCGTGAAAAGTGAAAGTACACTGATTGTATACCGATTGTCTAAAGGACCTAACCGGAAGTGATGTTGCAACGCAGTTTACCGTTTTGAGTTTTTCTGGTTGAAAGTCTTTCGTTTGCAAGATCAAATTAAGAGTGCTTTGAAAATGCCACTTAGTAGGTCAAATGATATAAAACTATTTTTTAAATGCGCTTCGTCTTGTCTGCCAACTCAGCGCTGAAAATACAAAGCTGCTGATGAATTGCGATTTTTACGATAAAACTGATTCTAAATTTACCCCAGCAAAAAGTTAACGCGACTGACCAAAAGAAATTCACCTATAACTTGCTGTGATTCGGACATTCTCACCAAACCTCAACGCCTCAAGAAGAATTAAACTTCAGGTCAGCAATAACCATGATATTAAAAACAATACTGAAAAGATGCCAGCTGCTTTAAGTTTACCTCAAAATTTTCTTGCAGCGTGGAACTCAGTAGGTCAGTAAAAATACTTACTTCGGCTAATTCAACTTTCCTCTTGACTGTGTTCCAACTGAACTGCGCCGAAAATAATCTCCTTCGCTTCTGGGTTCATGTTTTTGACTACCGCGTTTGATACGCGTCATTTGCTACAATTAGACTTCTGCGGGAGATAAGGTGATTGGCCAGTTCAGTGAGGTGATTGGAATATTTGTTTCCGCTTCAAATCCATGAAGAGAAAGGAAAAACTAACTTCAATACAAGAAAGGGTAAACGAAGGAAAACATGTCATGTTGAAGACCTCCTTGTATAATTGCGGCGTTAGCATACAGTTCAGTATGCAGATGTAATCTCCTGAAATACTCCATTGCAATTGTACATTTAGTAGCCTGTTCCTTTTCCTTAAAACTGAAAGTGCTTACGAAGCATGAGATAGGGGAAATATTAAAATTGAAACTGATTTTAATAGTAAAGACACTGGAATAAGTAATACTTATAACGACTGGCATATGTCTAAGCCGAGGTGATATTCCGTGCATATAAGCAGATTAGGTGGCTTTTTAAAAGCGATATATATTGAAAGCCTGTAAAAATAGCACATAGGATTCCTGAAATCTCTCGACCCACTTGCATCGTCAGAAGAGAAGGTAGTTTTAGGTTTCTTTAGATAGACGTTTACGATCAGCTTGGCAGATGTATGTTCATTTTCAGGAGGAATAAACAAATTTTGCAGATTTCTTGGACGTACAGTATAAAGACCAAACGATTTTTTTTGTGGGGGGAGGGGGGGGGAAGGGGTGGGGGAGAAAGGGATTGGGGGAGATATTCGTCCACGCAAGGACGTTTTGACAGGTCCCAGTCAAATTATGTTCAGAAAACGCCTTGAACTTTAAAATTTTTTCGAACAGCAATACAAAACATGATTCATTTAAGGTTTAGAGATACTTTTCACTCTACGCTGCACAGCCGCTTGCTCGTCTTACATGTATAAGGTAATGATGTCGCACAATATTTTATGGAAGTTCGTGAAAGTGAAGGGAGGACTTCTACTATACCCTGATCGTCTAAAGAACCTTACCAGAAAATATGTTGCAACGCCTACCGTTTTGAGTTTTTCTGGTTGAATTCTTTCGTTTGCAAGGGATACATCAAATTAAAAGAGCTTTTAAAATGCCACTTAGTATCAGGAACTTAATAGGTCAAATGATATAAAACTATTTTTTAAATGAGCTTCGTCTTGTCGACTGCCAACTCAGCGCTGAAATTACAAAGCTGAATGCATTACAATATTTACAAAAAAACTGATTCGAAATTTGCTCCAGCAAAATGTTAGCGTGACTGACCAAAAGAAATCCGCTTATGACTTGCGGTGATTCGGACACTCTCACCAAACCTCAACGCTTCAACAAGAATTAAATATCCCCGATCAGCAACAACAATGACAAAAACAATAATAGAATTTTCTTGCAGTGTGGAATACTAGGTCTGCTGAGTAAAAATACTTACTTCGGCTAATTCAGCTTTCCTCTTGACTGTGTTCCAACTGAACTGGGGTGCGCCGAAAATAATCTCCTTCGCTTCTGGGTTTAGATTTTGACTATCGTGTTCAATTAATACACGTCATTCGCTGTGGGGATAGGGTGATTGGCCAGTTCAGTGGGGTGATTGGAATGTTTGTTTCCGCTTTATTTCCAGGACGAGAAAGGGAAACTATAAACCTCAATACAAGAAAGGGTAAACGAAGGAAAACGTACTGGATAATTGCGTTGTTAGCATGCAGTTAATCAGTGTGCAAATGTAATCTCCTAAATACTCCCTTGGGCATTTAGTAGCCTGTTTCTTTTCCTAAAATTGAAAGTGCTTATGAAGCATGGGATACGGGGATTATTAATATTGAAACTGATTTTAATAGTTATGACACTGAAATAAGTAATACATATAAAGATTGGCATATGTCTACACCGAAGTGATATTCCGTGCATACAAGCTGATTAGGTGGCGTTTTAAAAGCCATATGGAAAGCCTGTAAAAATAGCATATAGGATTCAGATTTCTCGACCCACTTGCATCGTCAGAAGAGAAGGTAGTTTTAAGGTTTTTTAGATAGATCTTTACGATCAGCTCTGCTCATGTATGTTCATTTTCATGAGGAATAAACAAATACCGCAGATGTCCATTTTTTTTGAGGGGGGGTGGGAGAGGGGCGGGGGGGGAGGGATTGGGGACCACGCACTTACGTGTTGACAGGTCCCAGTAAAATTACGCTCAGCTTCCTTTATTCAAGCGATTTTTTCTTATTACAATTCTACAATGAGCTGTGTTAAACGAAGCCACTATGAAATGCATACTCAAATCCTTTAATGGCGGGTCTTTTTAAAAAAACGCCTTGAACTTTACAAATCTTGCGAACAGCAATACAAAACATGACTCATCTAAGGTTTAGAGACCCTTTTCACTCTACGCTGCACAGCCACTTGCTCGTCTCACATCATTAATAAATTTCGTAACTGTTCCCTTTCCAGCCACTGTATTGTAGTATTTCTTCCAGTACCAGCCTTGCGATTGCAGGTTAGAGGGAATCTCAGCGGGAATCCTGACAAGATACAAACGCGCAGCCAGCCCAGAATACAGCGGTTTCACCAAGTCTTGCCACTTGGTCTTGGTCCAGTCTATTCCGAGTTTGGCCTTGATTTGAGACCAGTATCTCCTCAAACGAGCGTTTCTGACTGTCTCCAGATGACCAATTCTGTCAACCTATTAAACAATTGCAATATTGAACGAAACTGACAGGGCTGTTTGGTCTAGACTGACCAACAGGATAATTCGTGCCTGCATCTGACTCGTCATCAGTCGTCTTCGAGCGTAACGCACACTGGGGGAGCAGGGGGTGATCGGAAGGGAGAAGAGAGGATGACTCTCTCCGTCGCTTTCCTCCTTCCCATCACATCTTGCGCGCCACAAGGGAGAGGTTGTGAGAGACGACTGGGGACGGGTTAGGTTAGGCCAAGATACAGAAATCCAGAAAAATGGCCAAAAAATCTATCCGGAAATTCTCAAAAAAAGTGTCTATAAATCCCAATTTTATTTCTAAAAATATCGAAATTTATTCTAAAAAAACTCGATTTTTTCCAATGTTTTTTCGACATAATCACATAATATGCATTCAATGCGGAATTCGTGTGACCTGTGCAATTTGACCACAGGTCTTGTTGCCAAATTGAATGCAATGCAAACACCTTCAAACTGATTCTAAATGATAATTTATTTACTAGACAATGTAAGTGGTTTGTCTCGATAATATATTAATTTTTCAAACAAACACTTCGTAATGTAAAGTTTGACATTTCATCAGTGGCATAACCGAGGCCAAAATTATGACAACCGTAGAATTTCTAAACACTATCGTCTAAAAATCCTAAAATTTTCTAAAAATCCCGTTTGACTCTAAAAATGCTAAAAAAAATCCGGATTTTTGTATCTAGGCCGAAGACGAGTCAGTGTCTGCATCTTTTTACAAATGGCCCGAGGGGGCGGGGAGGAGAATTACTTAACAAAATCTTATATGGGAATGCCCTGCCCCGAGGTCCAACTCCTTACCCTCTTTGATATACCATTTTTGAAAGTAAAGGTATCCCTTTTGTTGAACCTTCTGTTGACAATTGGCCGTACCTCTTTCACATACCTAGATTACAACGTTGCATTCCCTTTAACAGCTAATAATATAAATGCACTCGTCTGTCTTTAAAATATGAATAAAAAGAACGTTTCCTGGACTTTTTCTCAGCTACTATAAATTAATTTATCTGTTAACTATGGGACTTTTTACAGAACTAAAGGACAGATACTTTCCGTAGTGTACCCATAGCAAAAATCGGTCCTCCCTTTTTATATCCCTGAAGCATGAAAATGGTCCCCTTTTCGGGCACAACTATCTAGTTTGGAATGCTTTTGAGGTTCTGCCATATAGTGGAATATGAGGGGGAATTAAGGCGGCATTCTGTCTTTGTGTTTTTTTGGGGGGGGGTGGGGGAATACCCTTACAACAGTTTGGAAAATCTAGTGGACAATCTGGTCATATGTACATTGAACTGCCACATCATATTTGGATTTTTAAAAACCCGCAAATCCAATATTTTCTAATTTTCCAAACTTTTAAATACCCCCATTCCCTTAGTTTTTATACATAAAAAACATTCAAAAAATCATCCAAAAAATTTTCTTCATTAACCAGTCATGTAATATAATGTAATGTAATGTCGTTCATTAGAGGACAACAAGACGCTCCCTCGTTACATTTTATATTAACATGTTTAACAGTAAGCTCGGACTTCAGCATACAGGGGCGCCAGTGGCAGCCGCTATCAGTCCATTTATGAGTTTACTGTAACCTACCCACAGCCCATGATATGAATGATGCGTGATGCCTGATGCCTGATGCGTGATACGTGATGCTTGAAAGGAAGACCACACCACCGGGGAAGCTACCCTTAATCGTTTCGAACAGTAGTATTGGTTCTTTTACGTCCCCTTCGATTTGACTGATAAAAGAAGGATGAAGGAGACTTAAGGCCAACGGCTTAACGCCACCGCCCAATGACGCGATCATCTGAACTGAGACAAGGTCTCAAATCACCGCCAGCATGATCTCACCAGTTTCAAAGACCCTGGTTGTTGGTCCGGCCTGGGTTTGAATCCACGACTCCGGCCCCTCGCTAGTCAGACCGGTGCTCTCCCAACTGAGCTAATAAATGATAAATGAAATTCCACTTCAGACGTTTGTTCTAGTTGTAATCTAGGCCTGGTGACTGTTTCAATAGGCCTTTTGCAGGACGAAGTCACGTGCTTGGATACAACTTAGCTGACGGCTCGCTGGATGGCAAGCCGTCCAAGCGATCATTCCTATCGCAGAGCTTTGAGTGTGATCGAGTGATCATTCAGATCACTGAAATTAAAGTGGAGTGCAATCCCAGGGAGGTGCTTCCTAGTGATAGGCTAATGGGGATGTGCCGCTGGATGGGGTCGCATTTTCACGGCTGGATTGACTATAATGCAGTTGCATTTTCGTCAGCGTTACTAGAATGGGATCGCACATTTTCGGGATTTGGAGGATGAGAAAATTCAGGTAGGTAGAGATTTTAGAAATGGCAAGATTTTTACTTCATTAAGTTTAACCAATGTGTCAATTCATTTCAAGATGAGGTAGTTAAAAGAATTTATAAAGTAGATGCATGAACAGAAAGTTACTAAGTTGGGATCGCGAAAATTACACTTTCCCAAAAGTGATTGAGATGGGATCTATATTTGGCCACAGAATAGACTATAATAGGGTAGGGCATTCAGAGGCACATATACCAAGCAAAGATTAACCCAAGTAACTCCCCGCGGGAGTGCAATCAGGCGAAGCCCTCCTCTCCTTCCTAGTTTAATTCAAACGCAGTCCAGTCATTTCTGTTAATATTCAATAGAATAATTAAACTAGGAATGCTTGCCCGATCGCATTCAGTTCAAAGCTTTGAGATCGGAATTAACGCTCGGATATATGGCTTGCCATTCAGCTAGCCGTCGCTGAGTGATAGCCAGGCACGTGATCAAATTCTGTAAAGGGCTATTTGTTTCTAGTTCCTAACCTGCCAAATACCGCCATAGTAACCACGCCTGTATGTACCACGTGCCAATCCGTATCTCGACTCGACCCAGGCCACACGGCAGAGGAACTTTTTATCATTTGGAAAAATTCCCAGGCTGTTTATGGTGTCCACAACATCCTTAACAACAGCCGCTCCTTTCCTATAAGCCACGATACTTGAGCAAGCCATACTTCCAACGAGAAATTGACCGACCAGACTGGCTATAACAAGCACTTTCAACCACATGTTGGGTTAAAACTAGAAAAACATAGCACACGTCATCAATATTTATAGCCTGCGCCACGGACGAAACTAAACTCTTGTTAAGTCCGTCTGCGTCCACTGATCCTCCTAAGTATAGAGTTTTCTGGGGGACACATTTGTTGATATCCATGCTAAGACAGTTCATCCGCGGTGAATTCAGAAAATGTCCAGCGGATCAATATTCTACACACAGCTAGAAGCTTGCAGGACGTTTCGTACCCACGGACGTTTCGTACCCAGACGATTCGTACCCAAAGTTGAGATGATTCGTACCCAACGCTAAGATGATTCGTACCCATGCAATAACCAAGTCTTTATGTTGTAAACAGTGTGTTTTCATAGTTTAAGTCTTTCACTAAAACAAAGGATCGAAACCGCAGAACTAACCACAAGACAGGACGTACAGGTGGAGATTGTGGGATGAAACAAATGTGCATGTGTTTGTTTAGGTCCGAATTTGCTACATGTCTGAACGTCGACTAATCGAAGACTATTTGAAGAGCGAAAGCATAAGAAGAATACGAAAAGGTTAGTGACACAAGCCCCGCCAAACACAAAATTAAAGAAAAAGTGACGTGAAAGAGTGACTTACCGAATTTGCATGTTTGTGAAAAGTACAGTAATATATTTTAAAGGAAATCCTTGAACTGATACTTATTACAAGCGGGTACGAATCATCTCAACTTTGGGTACGAATCGTCTGGGTACGAAACGTCCGTGGGTACGAAACGTCGAGATTATAGTTTCAAGAGAAAATTGAGCCAATGATCCAACTTAAGCCCTAGTGCATTGAAGTTACCCAACGAAACTGAAGTTTTTCTGTTGCTGTATCAGAGATCACAAAACGGGATACATCTGCATGAAGACAGAGTGGTGTAGCTTTGCTTATTGATACACCGCTCATTATTTGGTCCCCTTTGCAGGAAGTTTAATTTTTTGAGACAACCTCTTTCATTGACTTCCCGAAAGAACTGCATGCGATGCAGTGAAAGATTCACTGCAATATATTATCGTCGGCCTCGCAGCATTGCTTACGCCGACTTTTGTTTTTTTAATTGTTGGATACGAAGCCCAATTCTACGAAATGAATAACGGTTTCATTGCCACTAATTTTAGCGGAATGTATGATGCAGAAAAAACGGTTCTCGTATTTCTTTCTTCCTGAATGCACAGAAACCGATATAAACGCTGAAAGGGTGCTTGTACGGATTTATAGACAAACGTAATATTTTCCAAAAGTAGGAAGTAAGAATATCGCTGGAATGCAATCGGGCATTTAATATCTCGAAATATCCTTTCACTTAAAAGTCTTTTAATGTAAAAAAATGTAGAGATTCAGTCAAAAATACTTTTTTGCTCTACCCTCAGTATTGCTGAACCAGAAGTTAATAATTATTTAATCGAGGCGCGCAAAAGCACACTAGCTTATCGTGATCAAATTGCAGATCAATCGAGAAACAGGCTACCGGCGAGCTGGTAAAATTTCTATAAACCATATCACAGAGTTCCAGTAGTATTTGCTGATATAAAATAGGGGTAAAAAAGAGATCAGATGACGAGCAAAAGCAAAGATGAATAAAATGCTCCAAAATATTAAAAATTACATCGATACTAAATAAAATCTTTTTTAAATTAAAACGGATAAAAAAATACTCACCGGCATGCAATAATGTCCCTTCCTGAACAGCTAGGCGATAATGCACTCGCTTGGGCAAGGCTTGGGTTTTCAAGCAAACCTCGTATTTTAGAGAAATTAGATACAATACCTATCAAGGTTAGTATTAGCTTCAGTTTGACGGATGATATTATCACTTTCGCAGCCAATCGTAACAATTGTTTCTTCAAACGAAACTGAACAGCTTGTTAAGCGGCTTCATCGAGTATTACGTCAGAGACTTATTTTTGGGGCCTCTTGGGCAACTAATACCGGAATTAAATTCTTGCTTGTCAAAAGGAATATATTTAAGTAACATTTTAAAATAAAAGTGTAAATGTTTAGACCGTAATTTCCTACAATTTTAACCTACATCATAATAGACGTTTATTAGCAAAATTGCAAGCACAAATTAAAGCAGATAAGAGTGGTGCTCTTAACTTAGGCCCGGTTCAGACGCCGTACTTTTCATGAGCTGAACCTAATACATTGAATTAAGTACATGAAAAGTTCGGCGTCTGAATCAATTAGGAACGCCTGTTTCAATCTGGAACGGCTCAGCCGTTCTTTTCGCCTAGTCCGGGTGGGAATTTCGCCTTTGGATCGACTTTGGAACGCCTTTGATTCAGACGCCGAACTTTTCATGTACCGAACCAAATGCAGAAATTCTTATAACGTATTTTGTAAGCCGTTTGACCGAAATGTGCATTTTTCGCCTTCTGAATTTAGTTCGGCTGGAATGAAGATCGGCGTCTGAATCACTTTAGCCGGTCTAAATAATTTGGGTCGGCCTTAATTCGAATTAGGTTCGGCTCATGAAAAGTTCGGCGTCTGAACCGGGCCTTATATATCTTGCAGTTTCGTACCTGGCACTTTGGCTACTAACTGTCATGTTTTCAATTCGAGTTTTGGTTCAACTAAAATGAAAGCTTGTAGCTTTTTTCGGGCCAATCAGAACAGGCGAAGACAATCTAATGAACCAATCAGAGCGTTAATGACGGAAATAGATTCCAAAGCTAGCGCGGGAAATAAGGCGGCACGATTGAAGAAGGCATCGGGATTGTTTTCAACCAGTTCACTTTATTTGTTATAGGCAGGCACGGCAAGGTTTTGATCAGCCAATCATGTTTAAGGGGAAGTAAAACAAAACGAAAGAAACTAAAAAATTATTAACTTTGTCATTTTATTGAAAATCATTCTAAAATAATGGTGGCCACCTCGGTTTGATCGGAAGTGACGAGTTGACTTCGACTCGTCCTGGAGATATCAGAAATCCTTCCATGCGTGTAACCCGACAGTGCTACTATAAATGATTATTTAAATTTATCATTAATGATATTACACAGCGGGCTCGAAGATATGAATTTTATTTTCGACTGCCAAAGTTCAATATTTTACGAATAAGCAAAATGACTGAGTGGAATATTATTTTTACTACAGTAAATTAAAATTCTTCAAGCTGCCATGAATTTTTTTTTCATTCGGATAGACAAAAAGAAATCGTTAGTTCAGTCCAAAGTTGATTTTTCATTCACTGGGCCAGTATGCACAAAAGCGAAGCTACAAAAGTTCTAACTTGTAAACTTGTTTACTCTTGATACTACTCGCTTAATTTTTAAGTAACCAACGACTGTCGATCGAAGGAACATTCACATTTTTCTTGATAGAATTCCACATTTATTTGGGGTAAAAAGAACGATAGCCGTAAAATTGAAAAATTTTAACCGTTGATAGAATGTCCACTTTTAAGGGAGGTACTAAACTCACACAGAGATGTCTCTGTTTGTAAAACACGTTGCCGATGAACAACATTTTCCTGTTTTTCTCTGACGCTACGGTAGACATTGCCATGCCTAGTACCTGTACGGCGTCTCCCCACGCAATCTCGGTCAAGGCATTTCCGCCCCGAACTCGCTAGGACCACGTGACCCGAAACGCATTAGCCGCGCGGAATAATGAGGCCTACGGACAAGGCAACGGCAGACAGTCGTTCCGTAAAGTCCTTCGCTATCATTAAAAACACTGGACACGGGAATTTGGTTATTGGCCGTTTGCACGCTAGAGCTAGTAATGGATTATCCGTCTGAGACCAGCCTGTGTACAGTCGCGCCCTCCCCACAGACACCCCTTCTCTGATTTTTGTGAGGGGAGGGGGCGGCTGTACACAGGCTATCTGAAACGGATAATCCTGTCTTCAAACTGTCCGTCGAAATTGACGGATAAAGTCAGGCGGATTGTTCATTCAAAATTAAAACTATTCCATTTTCAAATTAAGAAGTATTACCTATCTGACGCGAATCATCAAACGGATAACTCGTCTCACACAAATAATCCGGTCTAGTGAAAACGGCCATTTCTATTATAATGAATGTCGCGCCCCGGCCTTGAGTTGGGCGTTTGCGTGTCCGCTTTTGCTTTTTCACAAAGATTGTTTTTGAAATGACTATAGACATTTCTATCTATAAAATAATATTAGAAGTGAAATACTTTATAAAAAGTATGATCTATCAAATGTTAAAATTTTTCAAAAGAATAACTTGTTTCATCCCGAGATGATCCGACGACCTTTATTTTGATTTTAAGATACAAAATACAGGTTAATTATTTTTTAACTTTTTGAAACAAAAGAAGTTAATGTTTAACTTTTTCGTTAACCGTAACTGATCAAAATTAACCGATACCCGTAAAAGAGCCAAAATTTTAGCCGATAACCGTAAAAGCCACCACCCCATTGAGACCCTCTTACAACTAAGTTCCGGGTTGTCTGGCCTCGCTGTTCATCTGCTACAATTTTATTTTATAACAGATTGATTTCAACTTCAGTCTCGCTCAAAATATTTCAAATGAATTCGATTCTGTCACGGTGATACCTCCTTTTCTCCAGTGTTCTGATGTTCCGATAAATTTATATTTCACCTGCAAGCGTACGTGAGGTCAAGAAGGCTAAGTATTGGCCAAGTACTTTTAGGTCGATTTTATGGACCGAGACGAAGTCGAAACAAATAAAAACGCAGAAAAAAAGAACTTGCCCAATATTTAGCCACGATCTTAAAACAACAGATTTACTTTCTGGCTAAGAGAACTTTTTGTTGTGGGACTAAAACGAGAAAACCTGAGCAGGAAACATAGGGTCACCTTACCCGTTCACGACCAGCTGCGGAGGCGACTGCGTGGGAAAACTATTTTGATTTACCCTGGCTTTAGAATGCTGACACCACATGAGTGATAAACAATTCATGGCAAAATCACGCATCACTCGTCTGTTAAGAGCGAAGTTTTCTTTACAAAATAATACTTAGCAGACCCTAAACTTGATGAACTGGCATGGATTGCACAGGTCAGCTTGAGCTGTTCTAATTTATGTATGCTTTGGCATACCCGATGACCCTACAATATACGAAGCATTTTCTTGGTTAATGGCAGAGAAAGCCAGTATTAAACAGAATAGTTTCACTAAACAGGTTAAGCATTTAGGGAAATAAATGGCACCGGTCAGCCATAGTAAACACACTGGGTTTACAGGTAACGAGGAAGGATTGAAAAATTCTGCCAAATAATTTATGAGCGTAGAACATACCATGGCCAGTCTCTGGAAGGAGAGGAATTGGCCTAAAATATTTAAAATTTGAAAAATGTTACATAATTCAGTACTTTCTTTTATTATAGCCAATAGTTTATTCAGTCAGTCGTTTTGAAGGTATAGGATCTAAGTTTTAATTGTGAGCAGGCTTTTTGTTCAGTTCTAAGTGGCTGCGGAGCGTTCAGGTGAGGGTAAGTGCGGCTTGACTAACTGATTAAGTTTAAATTTGATGCAGTTCTAAAAATTCCCTTTTTGTCTATTTTCTATAATGATTTTAACAGAATTTGGGCGCCACACAATTCGTAAACTTACTCGATTAGTTCTTTTAAGGTAGCTTGAGTGATAACTTTGTACAGTGCCCGGCATTTAGTCGAAGAACAAATTAACTCCGTGGCAAATCAACAGAGTAGTAAATTATAATGAAATATAAACTTTAAAATTTCAAATCTAAGGAATAACATACTTGCATGGAAGCCGTGAAATAAGGAACTAACGAGCTGATCTGCATGATGAGAGCACATAGAATAATAAAAAACAATGGATGAAGAAAAATTGCTAAAAAGACAATGAAACAAATTTATGTTTTTTAGCAATACAAAAACCAGAATAAGAACCTCGCTAAGCCGCTCGTTTCGCCAGTTCTAGATAAACTTGATTTTCGAGTGTTGTTTTAAAAAAGATTGGAAAACGGACTAACCGGAAGAAAAATAAAACCTCCTAGAAAAAAAATGAAGGGGAAAGCAACATCAACAGTCCGATTAGCGTCATCCTAACACTAACCTGCAGGATCGATAAGTAACAAGGCCACGGACTTTCACCAATGCACCATCCTTGTCACCAAATACAAATCGAGAACCAACAACAGATTTCGATTTTTGCAGAAGGAAAAAATTGGGCTTTTAAGCATTTCCCTTTAATGGACTGAAGCTCTTTTGTCACATCAACAGATTTATATGACTGAAAAATCTTTTAAACAGGAGGATTAACACATCAGAAGAAATTCCTTTCCTTTATATATTTTACATTTTACTGTTTGCGCAAAGTTAGGAAGGAGAGAGAGGCATATTCTTGCATTGATGGTTTTTTCTTCACAATTACATCTCATCAAAGTTTCCTATATTATTTAAGTCGATTATCCATATTGGACTAGGGCCCTGACCAACTAGACTGACTAAGCTCAAATTAGCATTTAAGACGAAGGTGGTTTTCAATCGATGAAGATGGGTTAGTCTATGACGCCCGGCCAGGCTAGTACCGAGAGAAACTTTCTGCTGGTCTGGCCCATTTGACTTATAAAAAATTAATACGTTGTAAATTTTGATTGGCTCAAGAAATCTAAGTATCTGTTTTGCGCTCGTCATTGCTCAGCGTTGATTGCAGGGCAAGGTATTTTGAAAATATTTTAAAATATCAGGGTCCGTTTGGCAGCAAAGCAGAAAGTAATTACACTAGCATTAACCTCTACCCTGCTTAAACGATTAGCTTTTCGCTGTGCACGGGTAGTGTATTATTCACCAGTGAACTAGTCAACAGTGAAAAAAAATATGAAGTAGACCGTACGGGGAGCATTTTTTGTGACACTCTTTATTCTGTAGTTACTATAATTTTGATTTATTTTCTTACATCGAACAGTAAGGTTTGTCACCATCCACTTTCCTATATTCCGGATGAGTTCCTGTTCCAGCAGACTGTCCGGCACTGATCCGCAAATTTGGACTGAAAATGCGTTCACATTTATCATTTCAGTTCCTGGTGAAAACATCTGGTATGTTTCGTATGCTTGAAAACCGTCGTTAAATACTCTAGGACGGTGTACAAATACTCGTTTACATTTCAGTTTAGTTAGAGGGGGACTGGTTAGAATGTAAGACAAGGAGACCCCGATGTCTCCTGATTAAAGCTTCAGATTGACACACTTGATTCTAAACTTTAAAAGAATCTGCCACGGCCATCTCCGGCTCTAGAAAAAAGTAATGTTTCTGTTTCGTGACAACTAAAACTGATTACTTTTTTCTTTTCAGGGGTCCAAAAGTCGAACAGATTTTCATTAAAAAGTATGGAATCCATGGTGCCTTTGATGTTGGTGCTATCTTTTTTCATTATAAAAGGTTGGGAGAAAGGGTTCTTTCACTTAAACGCTTCTTTGTTCAGTGATGTTTAGGTGTGGTTCCCATATGGAAAATAGAAAAACGTGAAAGTTCACTATCATTACTTCAACGTCTTCCCAATTGAGACTTGCTTGGGTAAAAGTTTAATAATGGCCAGGGTCACAGAGTGTTTTCTTAATATGGACATTTTTTATGCGATGATGTTGAACTGGCGCCGACTGAGTTCTATATACATCGGCTCATGCATTTAACTTTTTTCTCTTGTTTTGGCTTATCTTTATGCATGTTCGTTACAGCATACGGATCGTCTTTTGTAGAAGTAAAGCAGACAGTGACAGATGATACAATACAAGGAGACTTTGCCGATGAAGGTAATTGCAATGTACGCTGCATAAACATTACTCAAAGTGGTTGAATTGCCTGTAAAGAAACGCGAAACGCGTCAGCAAGAAGAACAGTGCAGTAGATCAGAAGACTAATATCAGTGAGGCGTCGTGTTTACTGGCTCGAAAAGAAACTAAAAAAGCTGCCAGTTAAGGTGTTTCGATATAATAGTTTTTCAGAAGCTATACCAATATTTTTCAATCGCCTTAATAGTGTTTTTTTTTTCCTAGTCCGATCGCTATACATTTTTCACCAGTAATTGGCTATGGACTGAAATTTATGAAAATGTAGTTTTAAGTAAAGTCGATATTACTTTGACAAGAATAAATAAAAAACTTTTAAACTGATAAAAGCCGAATTTTGTGTGATCTAGGAGACCAGCTACTGAAAATCAAACACTAGGAACTTAAAGTTTGGTGTTTAGCAAACAATCTCCGTAAGAAGTAAAAAATTCTGTATGTTTGAATTCGATTATTTAATAAAAACGTTATAAATGAGTCAAATTATTCTTAAGTAGCGTCAGAATGCTGCTTAGTATCATATTTTGATGCTAGGAAATAAAGTTGGTGTATTTTCGTTCTTGCGAATCTTGAAAATTAGCCCGTTTTCTCACCACCTGTACAAGTGCAACTTCATTCAAAATTTTTTGTATATCTCTGAAACGACTCGAACGAATTTTTTAAAAATCTCATCACATCATCTTCGTAATGTAACTATATAATAATATCTGAAACTTTCATTGAGATTGATTCACTGCAACATCTTAAAATTTCAAGACAAACCTATCCTACGAACCTGTCAAAAATCTGCGTTATAACATTCACTGTTTTGACGTTATGCTAATTTTTCCAAAATAATGCGCACTATACATACCTCCATGACTAGCACATTTTTGTTTGAATTTATGCCATCTTTTGAAAGTAAAACATCGGCTTTTTTTTATTTTCCAACTTTCAGACGACGTCGTTCTCAAAGCTGTTCACTCAACAACTTCAGAATCAGCTTTCATCGAATCAGGATCGGGATCAGGATCAGCATCTGGCAGGAATAATGGCTACCCAAGTCCCGATGAAGACGACTCTAATGAAGAACAAATTCTGAGACGAGACGAAGGAGACTCCGACGAACAATCTGTCCTGCAGGAAAGAGAGGACGCAAATGAGAAAATTACCGATTATCCCGCCAATTAAAAGAATCAAGACAATGTATAGTTTCTTTAGGATTTGCAAAATACATTTCGAATAGAATTGCTTGTCTTCTTTTTAGTTCTGTATTTGGATGAAGCAATTTATAAATTATCCATGACTAGGAAGATCATTCCTTAGGAAAATAAAACAGGATATTTACTGGTCTTCAAATGATATCTTCGGAGTATTACGTCCCAAAAATAAAAGGTTAAGCTGTAATGAGATCTACTCGAACTCATTAGGTAGGAGCTTATCCCAGTTTTGTAGCATGATTCATGAGCAAGAGACTATAAAGGGGACAGAGAGGGTATCCCCCATATACACCCTATTCCATAGGTAATTCGTCTCGAGTTTTTTTTAACACCACAGATCTCAAGGGGGATTAGACAACAGCCAATCACATAGCGCGAATGTGTTCCTCGGGGATGACCCACGCTGAGAGCCACGCGTCCTTCACGAAATGACGCAGAACAAAATGGGGGAAGACGCGGAGAGCGATTTTGCTATTCCTTTTGTCGACGAAAACGACTACAGCGAGATTTCTGCGAAAACTGTGTCAGCGAAACCGAAATTAAAAAAGAATCGCCCTTCCTCTCTTGTATAGAGCTAACAGTAGAGCAGGGAAATCCTTAACACACTGAATATTCTCTCAGGATCATTTATAATTTACAGATTGAAGAGGGCAATTTCTGGTTTGATGTTTGTTTTTTTCAGTCTTTATGACGATTATTCCTACCCACTTACTTTGTCAATTGTAGGCGAACCCTCCTAAAGCTTAATTTCAAGGGACCATATTCAAGCTCCGAAAGAGAAATAAAATTTCGTCGTTGCTTATTTACGTCCTCCATAAAAGGCGAAATTAGGCATTTTCACGTCGTAGTCGTGCAAAAACGGGAAAGAAATGAACAAAAAAGTGTGTTGCACGTGCGAAGTTGTTGTTTTGCTAATTAAACCTATTGTTTTTTTGACGTTCTAGTTGTCGTCCGCGTCGTTGGATCTTAAACTCCCTAAATTGTACAAACGACCGGTTTCAATAGACCGGCGAAATTTCTCATTTCATTAAAGCACTGAGGTTACGACAACTTCGAGTTAAACTGATTTCACGGCTTGTCAAAGAGTCCAGCGATTCCTTTTTCCCAGGTGAGCGCCGACTCATTTCGCTTCAATATTCAGGAATGCTCTCGATCTTTTTACGCTTTCATTGCCTCTCGCCCGACATGTTTTGCACGGCGTTTGTCATGCGAAACATCCACGCCTCGCGCGAGGTAACTTTATCCCGATTCTAAAAATAACTCGAGACGAATTACCTATGGAATAGGGTGTATATGGGGGATGCCCTCTCTGTCCCCTTTATAGTCTCTTGTTCATGAGGTATAACGCACTATTTTGTTTACCCAGTCAATGGTAAAATATATGGAAAAAGACCTCGATCGATATAACGAAACCTTGTTACAGCGAACAAATTTTTGAGGAGTATAGTTTTCTCGTCTAAGAAAAGAACTCGATGGCAAGTAGTCTCCCACCCGGCGTGCGTTTTCAAAAATCATCGCATTTTCGAACCTGAAATTTCTCAAAGCTCCCGTATTTCCTTTTCGGGCCCGAAAAAAAAATCCAGCTCTAGCTAGCCACACGTGCATATGAGTTTGGATCAACCAATACGTTCTATGGTCTGATCGTCTCATAAACAAACGTCGATCTTCAGTAGTATTACTGTAAACTACCGCTTATAAGACCCCTCCCATCCAAACCACAGGCCCATCTACTTGTAAACAAAAAAATACATGCTATTATAAGCCCCCTTCTAGCATAACGTATTTTGATCAGCACGTCTATCAGCTTATCCTTGTTTAAAAGCGCTTTTATTATTCCAGTTATAAGCCAACCCCTCCCCCCCTCCCCCCAGGAAATATAAGCACCTCAGTTTTTTAAGCCCTCCTAAATCCCCTTGCAGGGTAAATGTATTTAGCCCACACCGTATAAGCGGCGGTGAGTTTACGGTATTTAAATTGTTGTTAAATGTTTTAAAACAGCGGGAATATCTTAAGCAATGTTCGTAAGCAGTCAAGAGCTTTTTCACTTTTGGAAAAGTGTAAAACAATATCGTGACATGCAGTTAATCCCACTAGAGAAAATTCATTCTTCACGTGACTCAGTTCGTAAGGGGCAGGGAGTCGCATTTGATAGATAAGGCCATGACTCTTGAACCTCATGGCCTAAACCGCCGTGACGAATTATTGCCCCCGCAGGGATTTCGCCCAGAGGCGAAATCCCGAGGAGGCACCCTAGTAACTCGCGCGTATATTAAGGACAGTACTTACAGTTCAAATATACAGTCAGAATGCTAGAAAAAGTCTCGATTTGCTCGAACAGGGGCCGCAAGGAATCGATAGGTAATGATGACGTTTCTATTGTTTGCGCCCGCAAGTACGAAATGGTAAGGATGACGTAAAGACAGAAAATTCCCAAGAGACCGCTCAGGTAGATTTTGGGACATTTATTGTGCAGCCATACTTCGATACTCTTTTGCGTTACGCAGTGACATTCTGTGGAGCAGTTGTTTTGAAAGTTATGGGCCAAAAGACACTCGTTAAGCGCAGATGAGATTATAAGGTGCGTTTAACTTTGTATATATAAACACTTGGAGGTTTGCCAGACACGAGTTCAAAAATCTTTGATTTATATTGGAAACCTTGCCAGACACTCTTTCTCTCTCTTTGACCGGAATAACAGGAATAAGACTCAGCCCCAAACCGGCAAGGAAGACGAGTGAACAACGGTTAGCTTATCACTAGAAGATTGATTGATGGACAATTACATGAATTCGTCGCTAATCAAATTCTGTGCTGACTTTTTCCCTGCTCACAGATGTCCTTGCGTTATAAAGTTTCAAATAAGACTAGAATACGCGAGCGTGAATCGATCCTTTTAATTTCTAAGGCTTCCTTTCCGGCAAATAAAATGAACTGAATGTAAAAAGTGAAAGAGAAATAGCGAAAAATTCAACTTCTAATTAAATCTTCTCGAAACTGAGAATGCTTTGATCAAAGCTGTGTAAATCGAGCTGAAACTGTGCATGGAACCTTGCGTTTCCTGTATTTATCTCACCTCACGTTGTTTTATATCAGCTTTGCAGTAGTCTTTGGACTTCTCGTTCTTGTCTTCGTGTTAGAAATTTCCACGAGCGGATTCGAATTGGTGAGGAAATCTGTGGTGTTTCGCGTTTTTCCAGCAGTCTTTGCTCGCCTTTTAGTAATACAACAACTTAGAGGAAATGGTAGACGACTTGTGCATAAGATGACGAACAATGGATTTGAAATGTTGGAGAAAGCGAGATTTATCTTTTGATGTACGTGTCAATTTTGCGTGTTATTTCGATAGACGTATCAATTTGGAACATCTCTCGTAAAAAATTTTCAGGTCTTAAAAAAATCCTCTGAACACTCTCGAGGTATTCTGGTTGTTTCATGTGAAACGTGGAGGTGGGTCTCTCTTCTGGTAGACGGGACGCGAGGTTTTTTTGTAAAGCATTCGTCCGTGGCAAAATGACCACCTTCTGGGAGGATGAGCAACTCGAAGATGGAAACTATTAGTGTAATACGTAATTTGGACGATATCAAGCGTTTTTTTTCCCGGCGTTGTCCACCGAATAACAACTGCCATCAGAAAATTTGAGAGATCGATATGGATTTCTTGTTATTGTCGTTATTGACCTTTTACGTGTTATTCCTGGGATTATTTTACGCACTGCGCTGAAAAACCTGAAGACGTCGGTAGTCCTGGCTTGCTAGCACGCCAGGGTGAAATAACTCCGCCTGGACAGCACGGGTAGAAGGTTCTGAGATCGGCCCGCTCTATCGTGACTATCGCTATTTATCCAATGCCAACAGATATTAACAACAAGTTTCTCTTTTCCTGCAAACGGTTCATCCCGGCGAGTAATAAAACGGTACATAACTTTTTGCGTTTCTGTGCAGTTTAGGAGCAAAGAATGAGGAACAAGAGTCAAAGACCGCGAGAAAAATGGCGCAAGTAAAAGAGCGGGGAGGGGTTGGTTCTCGTTTCATTTCTCGCGCTGTCAAAACCGAAAATCCCTTTCCACGGTCTATTTTTGCTCCGAAACCAAACGGAAACGCTTGCTACGCAGGCTAGCCTGGTCCTTGGACGGCGTTTTCCCAGTCCCTCTCGGTCAATTCACTTCGGTGACGTATCCGAGGCGAACAGGCGGGAAACGCTTAGTCAAAAACAGAATGCGCACGCGTGCGTTGCTTTTTGAAATTCAAGCTTTTGTCAGAACCTAAAAGTAAAAATCCTATATAAATTCACCGACATTCGTAGAAGTGATCTGTAATGTGAGAAGCATTAAATTCAATTTTGACCTAATTTATCAATGAAAGAACACACAACAACAGACAGAGAAATTATTTCTCGAAACGTTTTAGTAAGAAACCCATAAATTAATCCTTTAAAGCAATTCGCGTAACACGGCAAACTTAGGCACTTGGCTCGTGGATCCATTCACGCAAGAGAAGTTGGCTGAGCACATGTCAAAAATTATTCAATTACAAATTTCAAATGACCCATCAGGGCACTCAAGTCCGATCTCACAATATATGAGAAGTCTAAGATGAAATATTTACAAATACACAAATTTCCCTTTAAAAACGTAATTTTCTTGGATATAGATCAAAATATACTTGAAAATTCTTCAAAAACTTCTCCTGCTTCCCGGCTTGGTTGCGTTTCCAAACGGTCCAAGCGCTCCGATCGGCCGTATAGAAAATTTCGCGAAAAGCTTTCCTTTGTCCACAAAAAGAAAACTAAGCATTCTTTTGGACTTCCCTTTCCCAACTGCGCCTTTTAGCGGTGTATTTTTTAATCTTGAAAAGATAAACACTGGTCTTGTAAACCACCGCATGAGCTATCTCACTTTTGTCTCACTTTTGAGGAGTTTTATCTAGGCCTCACAGCTTCGCGTTCGGACCACGTGACTCGAAACGCTTTAG